AAAGCTATTCAGTGGATTTCACATAAACTGAGGGAAAGCTATCGAAAAGGTATGGTAGTACTCTTTTAATGGCTGAGCTACAAGTTGCTAATTCTGTATTAGACTTAGAGAACGCTTGTTACTTGAATGATTTCATTTGGCATTGACACCTACGTGTTATGATTTTAATCTCCATGAATACTGCTACTTATGTTACTGGATTTTTTTGTTTCGTTTTGTTTTATTGATGAGAATGTCTGTTTCAAGTAACTTTGATGGTATTTTGTAACATCCATTTTTTTCCTTAATTGTTAAATATACAGTACTTTGCAACTTAATTCTACATGCATTGATTGTAGTTAAAACTGTCATTTCTGTTTTATTTCTCTGGTGGCTACATGGAACACAGAAGAAGGTAATTTTTTTTTTCTTTACGCTGTCTTATTTTGCTATTTTTAAGACTTTTGATTGGTAATCCTGCATTATAATTCTCTGTACATAAATAATAATAAAATCATAGGATTGGGAGATATTGTCTAGTCCATTCCCCTGCTTCCAAACAGGTCCTTCAACCTAAACAGACCTTGCCGTACCCATATTTCTCCATACGAGATTCTGTATTTCTTAATTAACTGGTTCTAGGATTTTATGACATTTATCATAACAAACTTCATCCTCGTATCTTATCAAAATCCCTCTTGCTGCAATTTAAAATCCTTCTCTCTCTTTCCTATGCTCAATAGAGAAAAGATGCTCATACCCACTTCTACAACAAGCTCCCAAATGCTGATGTGCTTTGCTTTATATAAGTAAATTTTATTTTTATAAACAGGATACATTTTAAATGCACTATTGGCATCGTATCCTTAAAATCATCTTTTTATAAAGGAAACAACCACTAAATGATTTTCATACATTGATTTCACTTAATGAAATCCACGTTCCCAATTCAGCCATGACTTTTTGAGCCTGTGTAATTTAAGTTATAAAATTTTGCTTACGAAAGGACTGTTTTCAACCTTTATAAGCCAACAGCACTCTTCTAATCCCCAGTTCTTCACCATCTTTCTAGATGTTAACTTCAAATTGCCAGCGAAAGTGACTGACACCTTCCTACTATAAAAAGAGTATGTGCATGGGGAGAAGATAGTGGTGTGAGGATTCCTCTATTTCTAAGTAGTGAATGTGTAAATGGGGTAGGGGAAAACCCCACAATGTTTCTTAAGATTCAAAGTGATACAAAACTAAACAATAAATACCTGACAGGTAGAGGAATGGCTCTAGACATTTTCCCCAGCTATTGCCTTATGACCTTCCTTTGCAAATATCCTTCCTGTATAATTTCCATTCCTGCTGAATCTCATATTGACAAGCATTTATACTATATAAGATCACATTCTCATTTTGCAAATATGAAGCTTTTCCTGCAAGGTCTGAATACATAACTAAAATTTGATGTTCTAACTGGTACTAATAGGAAATTTTCTCTCATCAAAAGATTTTTTTTTTACCATTCCAATCAATTCTGCTGCCATAGTTGTCGCTTTTAGATCTTAAATACCAGATTATCTAGATTTAAAAGCTATATCACAACTCAATTCTGATAAACTGAACATTTTGTAGAGGAGGGGAGGAAAAAATAAAACCTTAATCCCAAAAAGCATATAAAAGGCTGCGCCTTCAACTTTAAAAATAGGCATCTTTCTCTGATGGGAAAAATGAGCCCTAGTCCCCCAGAATTACAAAATCATCAGAATACATAGTAAATAGGGAACATCAGAAATAGAAAAGATTCATACCACTCAGTTTAAAGATCTCTTCCTATCTAGGGGAAAATGTAGCCAACGTGGTAGGTAGGGCCTCTGTCACCTCCAGAATTACCTCTCAAGAGTAAGGGGCGTAAGACAAGAATGAGAGATTTCTTTTCTTCTTTCCTCTTGAGAGTTACAAGGTAGTGAACTAACTAGAATATAACTATTTCTCCCTAATGCTGTAGCAATTGGAGAAGGCAGAAGGAACTTAATGAGAGTCGGAAGGATATGTCTTTTGTTGCCATTAATAATTCCTATGCCAGATAGATTGAACTCACCAGCATAAACCAAGCCTAAAGATCTCCTCTTTCTATATCTCACTAGAGTTTTGAGGCCTCATTGCCTACTGAGTCAATATGATGAGTTATTTTTACACTCTTTGTTTTGTTCCTTTTATAGGAAAAGTATTTGCCAACACCGATGATTCAGTTTGTCTGCTAGGAATGCGCACACGGACTCTTCTTTTCCAACCTGTGGCTGAACTAAAGGATCAAACTGATTTTGTGTAAGTAAAAACTTAACATGCATCCCATTGCAATGCAACATCACAGCTCCAAAACCTATGCCAAGCTAAGTCGAAGTTAAACCAGCCTAGAAAGATTAAAGTACAGGTTCAAGCAGACCAGGCTTATTGTTCAAGGAATACCTTTGCTAAGTACAGAAGAGCTCATCACCCTAAATCTGGCAGTGGGTGATGAATGTTTTGTTAAGTAACCCATAGATTTCCATAGTTACTTTTTCTGCAAACGGGAAAGTCAAGCGACAGTCAACAAGCATTTATTAAATGTCTGCTGCAGACACAAAGAAAGGCAAAAAATTGTCTGAGACTACCTGCAAATAATTAGCTCAATAAAAGATACACGCAGGGGGAAAAAAGTTAGCTAATATTTCAAGTGCTATGTAAATGCTAGTTATTGTTATATATCTAGATAAGCTAAGAGGGAAGGCACTAGAAGCTTTGGGAATCCAGAAAGGTCTCCTGCAGAATTTGAACTGAGTCTTGAAGAAAGCACGAGACATGACACTACAGTTGCAGAGATGGGAGATGGTGATATGTTCAAGAAACTGCAGAGGCTGAAGTAGCTGGACCACACACTCTGCAGAAGGAGTAAGGTATAAGAAGTCTGGAAAGGTAGGAAGGGACCAAGGTATGAAGAGTCTTAAATGACAGTTTTATGTATGATCTTAGAGGGTCAAAAAAAGAGGACAGGTTTTAGAATCATGTAGTTCTTAACATGTATAAATAGTCTAATGGTCTTTATCCAATAATGCAGTACTAGAAGAATGAGCCACCATCTGTATGATATTCTTGGTATAAATAAAACCAGAAGACATAAAAGGTGTAGGTGAATAGGAGTTCAGGGGTTCTAAGGTAGGTGAAATAAAAGTGTTATAAGAATAAGTTTCATCATGCACCCCCCCACCCAAACAACTAGAAACATTATTGTGTAGGGCACTTGGTCACCTTGTGTTATGGGTCTTATAATGAAGGTGTCATCAGAACATATGCTCCATCATCTCTCAAAAAAAGATGAACTTGACAAGATCCTCAAAACTAAGTCATTAAAGACTTTATATACTGACTTCATTGTGAAGGTGGGCAGAGGGAAGGACAATAAAAAAAATGAGTTAGAAATATGGTTCTGGATCAGGAAAGAAGAAAGGCTTCCCAAAGTCTGTAGACTTCACAGAGGCTTCATACTTGTGCCCTCCTTGAGGGCAGCAGATTCTTTTTCATTCTGTCTTTCCATCTCTAGTACCCCATACACTTAAGAAACATTTGTGGGATTGGATTGTGAGTAAAATGAGTCTGAAGTCAATTTGGCATGGGATCCAGCTAAACCAGGTCATCCTGAGAACATGTGAGACAGGAAACTAGGTGTGAAATCGGTCAACTACTGGCCTCACTACGGTGATCTAGTTTTATCAGCAATGATAGTGCCCCCACATTTGATTTTCTACCACCCAGTACCTGATGTGAAGAAGTGGCAGTGGCACTTAAGATGAAATTAGGAAAAGCAATTAGCTTGACCAAATACATACATAAGAAATTGTAAGAGAACTAACAATTTTAAAGGCATTCAGGTACTGATTTTCTAAGATCTGAGACACTGCAAAGGAACAGGGAAAAATTAGATTTTAAGTAAATATAGTTTTTTTCGTATTTACTATAAAGCAAGTAACTCATGAGAATATTCTGACAAAACCATAAGTCAGATTTTATATATCATTTTCTTATAAGGGACGTAAGTGCCCTCTCTGCTGATCTCAAAATCTCCACAAAATCCAGCTTCCTCAAGTAAGGTGTCTTCTATATGCATTAAAATCCTAAGATTCCTGTGACACAATCACAAAGAACTGTTTAATGGTCCACTGATTAGCAACACTAAATAAGGCTTGAGAGAAAGATAAATCCTTCTTGCGGTTATTTCTCAGTTTCGTGAAATAGAGTGTACGAAATTCAATTGTAAGAGATTTCCTTTAAATGTTGATGATGTCCTGTCTACATGTGATCTTGTGTGACAAGTGAACTAAATGTAGGAAAAAGCTTGCAGTCTGCATTTTACTGCACTATGGTCACCTAACTGAAGATGGACAACGAACCGGGCTGGTGTGCATAGGGAAAGCTGAATTGTGCTTTCACTGCTAAAAGGCTCATCTTATTCTCCTGGTAATGCTGCTATGCAGGCTGCTGAACACCAGAATCAAATTTCAGGCAGTGGAAAAAGCATGGTGGGTGCAACCTGCATTAGATTACCAACAGTGATGGAAGACATGATTGAGTTACACATTTTCTAGTCATTCATTTAGATAAGAGGAAGAGAGAGTGCCATGACACATGAGAATCACCAGGAACCTTTAGGTGCTGGAGAAATTCCCTAGAAGGGACTTGTAGAAAGACTTCAGCATTTCACAGAATTACAAAATGTGAATAGTTTTATCATCTGTACTGTTGGATCTAGTCTGACCAAATTTGATAAAACAAACCACCCAGATTTAGAAATTAAAGCTTGAAATTAAATAATTTTTAAGCAGCATCATTTTCAGAGATATAAGAGTTGCTAAATAGCCCTTAAATTTGCTCTCCTTTAATTTGAATTCGTGTGTAGCAAAGAAAATATCTTCCATAAGGCTGAGAAAAATCAAAATCTGATGACAGAATATAGGAGTAAAAATGGTGTAAACTACTTTCTTCTCTTACCCCAACAGGCACAGAATTCCCAAAGAACAATGGTGGTTGAAACTACGACCTTTGATGAAAATTTTGGCCAAGTACAAAATCAGCTATGATATTTCTGATTCAGGTCAGCTAGAACATGTACCCGGCTGCAACATCCAAACAAGCAGTTAACTCGCAACATGTTAAATCATGACAGTAGAGTCACATTGCGTGTTCGTAATGATGCTTTAGAATTTTTTGGTCACTGCCATTTTTTGTAACATTTAAGTTATTGTATCAGCACTTTATGCAAAATTAGGAATATGTTGCCATTTTCTTCCATATTGTGTTAGCTGTTAAATACTCACACTAACTACAAAGTATCAATTATCAATATCACCCTTATTTACTGATTACCTGATTCTCCTCACAAATAAACAACTCAAATGTAAAATAATGAATATACTAAGAAGTAAATCTCTTAAGTACTTTGTATCAAAACTGTTACTTCTACCTAGAATATACGTAGATTTGTTTTGTGTCAAGCTAATGGTGTACATACAAAGTGGAATTAAAATGAATATTACAACTATAATTTTCTATTTGTGAAAAATGAGCTTAAAAAAACTTCAAAAACAGGCTTGGTACTTAAGTGAAAAATCACTTAGCCACAAATCTACAGTAGTACCACTTCTGAGACAACAGTTTAATACTGAATCTATGGTCATAAGACTTCAAAGAAGTGAACAAAACTTAGTATGTTCTATGTTAACTAGTTGCTACACAATACTCAGGTTAGATATGTAACATTTGAAAAAAAAAAGTTGATTTTTCTTGTTCTCAGAGAGAAACTGTTGGCCACAATTTTGAGTGGTTCACAGGTGGGAAGTGCTCAAGCCCTGACTAGATGCCATAGCAGCCTTGAAGTAAGGAGAAAAGGGAACCTTTTTTTCCCCCCAACAAAGAGTCCTCTTCCCTTCCCCTCCAAAAAAAAAACCTACCCTAAATCAACAGGAAACAAAAAATTTTACTAAACACATAATAAAATTTATTTGAGCCCTAGATTATGCTCAGTTAAGACAGAGAAAGAAAAGGAAAAGTAGGCAATGTGGAATAGGACAAAGTATATGAAAGTGGGAATTAAAAGATCTTGGTTGTAGTTGTTATTTTCCAAGTTGCATGATTTGGAGCAAGTCACTTAACCACTTAAAGTTTGGCCCAGTTTTTTCACCTATGAGAGATGGAGCAGATGGTTTTTAACGACAACTCTAAATTGATATGACTCTTAGCTCTGCCAGGAGAAGAATGAGGTAAGGAGAACAGGTAGGGAGAGGTGAAAAGTTAATACACATCAGAAATAAATTAGCTTTACGACGACTTTTGCGACAGTTGCCTATCAGAGTAGAAAATTATCCAGACTAAAGTTCTATTATAACTGATTTGTTGACATAGGCGTTGATAGTAAGCTTCTGTTCATGCTAATTTTTCCTAAGGCTACCTCTGAAGTCCTCAGAGGAAGGTGGAGAAAAGAGAAGGATCCCCAAACTCCTTTAACACTCTGCTGTTATTCTTTCAAAATAACAGTGGAATGGAGGGGGTAGGTTTAGCATTCCAAAGAAAGTAAAAGAAAGTTATTAGAAAGCTCCATTCTTTCTAGTTAGAGCAGGGCTTATTTAAATATCTTGTTAATCACCATATAAGTAACCATAAATACCATATAAGTAACACTGTGTATTTTATTTATTTTGATTTTATGAATTTAAAAGCATTATTGTGACCAGAGGTCCATGACCCAAGAAGCAGCAGTTTTCTATTTCCTTAAGAATGCCTGAAGAATCGTATAAAGGACTACAAATGAGCAAGTGAAACTAGAAGGACTAAGATCTCCAAAGATGATAATCAAATAGAGACTCTTCTAAGTCAGATTCAGCTCTCCACCTCTCCTAGAAGCTACTCTATTTGGATATGAAGTAAGCAGATTGAGGGAGAAAAGGAAACAAATAAATCTACTGGTTAATTAACCCTGGATAAAACAAATGAGATGCTTTATTTTAGCTTATACTCATACTAAATCAAAACAGTGCTGAAAATAGATAACCAATGCCACATCTGGGTCAGATTCTTGTTTTATTTCTAAAAGTGACAGCTGTTTAAAGCTGACATGCCAATTGAGGGCCTACAGAGTTAAATAAAAACACTACCCTTGAAGTTAAAAAATATACAGTTTATACATTTTTAAAGTTTAATCAGTTTTGTCCTCAAAGTGACTTCTGACGTAATTAAGTTCTGAATATGAGACAGTGTTCATGATAAAGTTTTGCGCAAAAGTTATTAATGATTCTGATCCATTAGAGTGATTTTAGGTTATAAGTCTAATAATTAATATGTGTTCAATTTAGCTCTTATTTTGAGACTTTTTTCCTAACTATCTTATTACCCATGATGGGTCTTTATTAATGTTCATGTTATCTGGTCCAAGTATTGCTAATCCTCGAGTGCTCTGGCCAGTTCTGAGGTATCTGAAATAAAAACAGAGATGGTAATATGCTTTCTTTTAGTACTCACCCATACAACTGTTTAAGAGAGGCAACTTTAATCATTATTTTAACGTTAATATCATTCATGTAATTAAAATTGATTACACCACTCTAAATTATTATTTTCACTGAATGGAACCAATACTACTTTTAGAAAGTTTTTATCCGAAAGAAAATCACATGCAGAATAGTTAAAAAAAATACTCACTTATTGCTAACATTAATAAGTTGTTCCTGACTAACACCAAAGAGTTGCTCTCTGTGTGCCTGCTTCATCTCATCTGAAAGTCCATATAAGAACCGGTCTATTCCTGGAAATAAAGCCAAATTTCAAAAAACAACATTTAGCTGGAGCAACAGCATCTCTCACACTTCACAAAAAATGACAGAATCTAACATCCTTTAAGCAGAAGAACTATTTTCCCACAGGTAGAGCTCAATGCAAAAATCTTATAAATTTAAGGTCTAGCTTTATCAATCAACAAATATTTATTAAACATGTATGAGTCAGGCAAGTGGCACAGTGGGCCTGGAGTCAGGAAGACTCATCTTCTTGAGTTCAAATCCAGCCTCAGACACTAGCTATGTGACCCTGGGTGAATCAAATAACCTTGCCTGCCTCAGTTCCCTCATCTGTAAGATGAGCTGGAGAAGGCAATGGCAAACCAGTCCAGTCTCTTTGCCAAGAAAACCCCAGATGGGGTCACGAAAAGTTTGACATGCCTGAAAAACAACTGAACACCACCTGGGTCACGCAACAAGAATACGAATGAAAAGAATGTCTAATAGATATCTAGGATGCTATAATTAAAAATAGTGCTTTGTAGGACGGAAGAAGGGAATGCAAATGAACTTTTTAAATTTAGTATCCCAAATGAAAAAACATGTTTTGCTGTCCAGAAAAATTATATTAAAAGAACAACTATTACATCTGTAGCATATTACCTGGTAGTAGGCAAAGTCTATGACTTGTCAGAGCTGTTTCACCAACCACAAACACATATGTGCATACACACACCACTTTCCTCCTACCTTTGTCTGAGGGTGCAACTGGAGCATCTACAACTGAAAACACGGAAAGTTTTGCTTCTTCAATATCCGTCTCTGTGAATTTTCCAGATTTGGCCCAGTTTACCGCTTTTTCAAAAGACTGGAGAGTTTGTATTGAATTTGGATCCCTAAATAATTAGATTGAAAAAATCTCAGTTTGTACACATAAAATTTAGATAATGAATGACTATAATTTGGTTATTCTTTCTTCAAGAGTCATGTTTGTTTGCACGTACACCATCAGACTGCTAGTAGTCCATTTTCACAAGAGTTGCTGTGGCCAAAAGAAAACATGTCACCTAGCCAAACTTTTAGTGATGAGCTTCTCTGAATCTGGGTGTGCCTGACCCTCTGACACCGGGAAAGACCTACAAGAGCTTGTGCTCCACTTGTGTCTCTGGGAACCCAGGAAGGCTTCTACACGATGATAAGACATCAGAGTAGACCTTTAGGGAAAGGATTGCTGTTGACAAGTAAACTATGCTTCCATTAAAAAATCCTACATTATGTGACATGATATTAGATAAGCAGTCATTTAAAAAAAAAATTGAAGGGATCTCTTCCATCTCATCAATGTGAGAATCTCCCTTCTTCAAAACAGATCTAGTGTGAGAGAGGGATCTGAAATAGAAACGAGCCCAATACTCCATCCACTGCCATATCTCTATAAATGACCACTATGTGATATACATGTCAGACAATTTACCTATAGGAGTAAAAGGTGAATATTCCATTACCGCTGAGTTTAGCACCTCCACCATATGCACCACCTTTCTCTCTAATTTCTGTATGTAAGAACTTAGCAGTCATCAAACGTGCAAGGATCCTAAGTCTGTGTAAAAAAAAAAAGTTAAAATATATAGGACATTTTAAAATTTTTTCCATGTAGAGCGTTACAGATTAGACCTGTGTGATTTCACTGGTACAGAAAACTTACAGATGAGGCAACTCCCACCTTGGCTAAAATTAACAGTTGTAGACAACTGCCTGAGGCACCAAAAGGGTAAGAGTTTTGCCCAGGCTCACATGTCAGAGACTGCATATGAAACCGGGTCTCCCTGATTCCAAGGCCAATTCTCTATTCACTGCCATGCTGTCTCTCACCATTTCAACATTCACTTATTTTAATTCTTTCTAAAGATATATATGACACTAAAATGTTGCTTTATCAGAGATCCTATGAGTGACTGTGAACACGGTGATCCAATCATTAAGTCCATGAGCATTTGTTATGTGCTTACTATGTGCCAGACGCAAAAAACAAAGATCTTTGATTATGCGAAACTAGTTTCGTTCAGTTCACCAGAAAAGGACTATGTTATCATATGCCGAGAGGGTTCAGTTCACTATTCAACTTAACAAATATCTTTTAATAACTTACTATGTAAAAGGCATAACATAATGTCAGGTGCTAAGGATAATAAGACATAAGACAAACAGTTCTTGACCTCAAGAAACCTGCATCGTATTGGGAAGATCCAAGATACATAGTAAATATAAATAATATGAATGGACCAAATACTTAGGGGAGGAGGACATCAGATGACATCTCAGCTGAGCCTTGAAGGAAGACCAGGATTCTTGTGAAAGACAAAGGTGAGGAAGTACATGATAGATGGGCCATTAAGGAAATAAACACAAGTAAAGTTCGTGAAATAGCTAGCAAGCCAGTTTGGATGAACTGAAGAGTGCATAAAGGAATTAGGGATATGGACTAGACCTGTGATTTCAATGGTATAGGAAACTATGGGTTAGTACCTTCTCTGCTAATTACAGTCTTAGAGCAGGTGTTTTTAATAGGAGGATGAAAGAATGGGTAGAGGAAAGAGTTCATAAATAGATTTCAGGGGGCCCATAAATTTGGATGAGAAAAAAAACATTTTTTAAAAAAGGATTCATCTTTTATTTAGTGAGGTAGCAATTTAAAATCATTTTCCATTTGCATGGCCTGCAATCTGCTCTAGAGTCATTATGGCTGGCTCTCTGACTCCTTGTAACTGTGCATGTCAGTATTCCTTTGAAGTACGGTACAAATTCTCTTAATATCAAACCACTAAATGTTTCACCAGTTGGTTGTCTGTACTCTGCTGAGAGTAATATTAAAAATGTAAAGAACAGTTGTAGCACTCCTTTTGCTTTAACACAAGGTACTTGTGACTGAAAAAAAACCATCTTTAATCTTCACTAACTCCTCTATTCCTTTGTAGTCCTGTGTATTTTATTTTATACATTTAAAAACATTACTCTAAAAGGTCCATAGATGCCCTTTGCACAGATAGCAAAAGAGTCCATTACACTAAGAGGAATTTTACTTTATTGTAAGGGCACTAAGAAGGCAATGAAGGCTTTGGAGTAGGAGCATGATAGAGGACAGAAAGGAAAGAAGAAAAAGACAAAATTGGTGGCAGCCAAATGGACTTGAAATATAGCTACTACATTTCCACTGTTTTTGCTTCTCTGAGCTAAATATCCCCATTCCTTTACTTGCTCCTCATATGGAACAAACTTTACCATCCTGGTTTTCTTCCTCTGGATACACTTTAGCTTATCATCTTTTCTGAAATGTAACACCAAGAACTAAACAGTGCTCTAAGGGAAAAAGTACACTAGAATTATTACCTCCTTATTCCTGAATACTGCACCTCTTAATGGAGCATGAAATCACATTAGCTTTCTTGAGTGCCAAATTTACATTATTAACTAATACTGAGCAAGCAATAAACTAAAACAGAACTTTGTCTGGTCTCACCTTCCTCATCTTGTATTTGATTAGATTTTTTCAAACTCAATTACAAAATCTTACAATTATCTTTATTATATGACTATTTTTTGAACCAACTGTATTATGATCTAGTTAGTCAACTGCCTGAATAAAGTACAACTTATGGTACAGAAAGAAACAAAGATATGACTAAGGAGCCTTTGCCAGTGGTCCCTTTGAAAGACTGGAGAATGTGTGAAATACTCTAGGACTGGACAAAGTCAAATGTCCTGATTTTCAAAGAAGCAAAGTGTCTGTAATCTATAGGCCAATGAATCAATTTCCTGGCAGAATTCTGGGTCATATTACTATAGGTATGGTTACTGAGTATCTAGAAAAGTAAGTAATGATCAAAAGCCTTAGAGTGGCTTCAAGAACAAATTAAACCCAATTAATCACAACTCCTTTTCTGACAAGGCCATTTGTCTGTTAGATGGGGAATCTTCAGATATTTAGATTTCTGCAAAATACTTAATAAAGTGTCTCATAATATCCCTGCATAAAAATGGCAGGTAAGGGCTAATAGGTGAATTCAGAATTAGTAGAAAAGGCAGAGTATATTCATCAATGACTCTATGAAAGCCTAGAACAAAGTGTCTACTGAAGAATCTCAGCAATTGGTAGTGGGACCTAAGCCACCTAACATTCTTATCAATGATTTGAGTAAAAGGCACAGATACCAAGCTTATCAAATTTCAGATAATCATAAAGCCTAGGAATAATTAACATACTGGATGACAGGATTCAAAAAGATCCTGACAGTCTAGAACACTGGAACAAATCAAATAAAAAACAACAAATCTAAACTACAAAGCTCTACACTCAGACTTAAAATTTTTTTAAGTTCACAAGTATAAAATTTATTATTATCTGGTTCACTTATCGTTTATGTAAATTAATTAATTAATCAGTTTATTAATTAATTTATTAGTTATTGTCTGCTTCGTTTATTGAACAGCTAGTACGTCCTGGTACTGCGCCAAGTGCTGCATGAAAACACAGTAGTCCTTGTGCTCCAAGAGCTTATGATCTTCATTGGAGGAGAAATAACACATGCATGGAAAATTAAGTGTAAAATCATGAGCAGGGTACCGGGGGGGGGGGGAGAGGGGGGCGCACACGCAGAGGGAGAAGCCAAGATACGCTTCCTACAGGATGTGGCAGTGAAGCAGATTTTAAAGGAAGCTACTCCAGGCTTGGAAGGTAGAGTAGACAAAAGAAAGCAATGTGCAATAGGCCTAGAAAAGGGGGTTACACAGTGGTGGGCCAAACAAAAGCCTGGAGCTTCTTAAGCAGGAGAGGGACCCAGTTACTATCAATGCAGCTTCTGGAGACTGGATTATAGAAGAAAACAGATGAGAACTAAGAGACCAATTAGAAGTAACAACAACAATCCAAGTAAGACTAAAAGCTTGAACTAGGGTGTTAGCTATGTGGTTAGCATCCAGACTATGCTTTAAGGCTTGCCAAGCATAAGGCAGGGTCTCTCCTTGGATTTTTACAACAACTCTGGGAGGCACCCCCATTTGATAGAGGAGGAAACTGCAACTGAGGAGTTAAGTGATTTGCCCAGGATCACAAAATATCAAGAGTCTGAGGCAGAATCTGAACTCATACCACAAAGGCTTAACAGGATAAAAACAGTGACGAGAAAAGAGTTTGGATATGAAGAGATGTTGTGAACGCAGAAAAAGTAGGATTGAGCACAGAGTTAGAAGGATGAGTTGAAGACACTAAGGGCTTGAAGTTGGATGACAGGGAATAGCGGTGTCATCAAACCAGAAGATTGTGAGGAAAACTTTTATTATTAACAGGCAATATTTATTCATCAGAATGTGAACATTCTCTTATCTGCCAGAAATTTTCCATAAATGCTCACCTTCTGAAAAGATGTACATTAGGAAAAGATCAAGTTCAAGGTAGCAGCCCAGGAAAACTAACTTCTTTAAAGTGGGGGATGGAATAAATTATAATTCATGGATGCTTTAATTTCAGAATTCTATAATAATGAATTTCTGTTAACAAAAGGACACCTTTTTAGCTACATCAATTCCTCAAGTATTAGCTAAGAAGTCTTATCTGTCTAGTAAGCAGTTCTTTATATCACTTACTTGGCATAATCTGGATGTGTGTAAGGAACAGTCCTAACACCTTCACCTACATAATTCACAGGAAAAGGAAGTACAAAATGAGTCTTCATCTGACATGGTTTGAAAGTAGGGTCCTAAAGAGAAAAAAAAAGTGTCTTCTTCAGTCCGTGAAGTTTATTAAAATGAAGTATGATGACATTAAGTAAATAGATTTTTAAGAAGACATCACAATTCATGATTTTCTAGTGAAATCAATTATTTCTCACCTCATATAAAGCCCATTAATTTCAGGCAACTCTTCCACTTAACACCATCATGAAAGACTCAATTATAATACTTTAAAATACTATAAACACCCTCTTTAAAACATGCCCTCTGACAACACCATTCATGCAAACAGTTGTGATTGATCTCATTTCATTCCTTATGATAGAGAATACAAAATTCTGTGCATAATGAACCAAATAAATTCCATATATATGTGAGGGGAAAAAAAAACCAGTAAAAAGGCAAGAAAAGACAGTAAAAAGTATCATTGTTGGGAGCTAAGCACTGCATATATGTGCTTCAAAAAATCTGGGCTAAAAAAAAAATCAGAGAAAATATTAATCAATACAATTTCAACCAAAGTCCATGAAAATATGTACACAAAAAACTACTTAAGTGTTATATAAAAATAAGAGCAAACTAGAAGTCCTAATATTCTGCAGTAGCAAAAGCTTTTTAGACTAACATGGGACAATCAAGTCCTTAAAAACTTATGGCACATCATGTGGCAGGGAAAAAGGGACATCAGTATTTTAAAAAAGAGGTGTCAAACACACAGCCAACAACTCCTCCGGCAACACTCCAAAGTGGCTGAACCAGATTAAAATATAATTAGGAATTATGTAAGAAATAAATATAAAATAAAACCTTGATAATGCTAATTGTAGTTTCCTAAGTCAATATGTGGCTTACAAGAATCCTTACGTATGGTTTACTGTCCCCCATTAGTGCTGGTTCAAATGTAGCCTCAGACACTTTGCAGCTGTATGACCCTGGACAAGTCACTTCCCCTTTGTTTGCTTCAGTTTCCTCAACTCTAAAATGAGAATAATTACAGCACCTACCTCACAGGGTTGTTGTGAAGACCCAAAGAGATGCTAAAAATGAGATAATACCTTAAAGCACTTAACATGGTGCCTGACACATAGTCAGGCACTATATAAATGCTTATTCTCTTCCCTTCTTTTCTCCTTCTATTTAAGTTTGACATAATTGTTCTACACAAACCTATTCTAAAGTGTCTGAAGAAACGAAGGAAATCAGTTTTTAAATTTCAGGTCACAAAGTTCTATAAACTAACTTTGCATAATATAGCTGTACTAAATTATTAACTTACAGTAATTAGCTTTCTTGTCATTTGGGGACCATTTGCTAAATTACCGTCAATTGGTTTGGAATCAACAGATTTCTGGAAAAAAAAAGTCTTCAAGTTAAACATAATTAAATGAACAATAACTGCAAGGAATGCATACATATGTGATAAATGCTGAAGCAGCATAATTTGTTTACTTAGCACCTCTACAACAGAAAGAAAATCAATTTCTTGTCCTTAATTTAATTGGCACCTCATTTTTTACATTTTACCATCAAGTTGGTTCATTTTTTCCCCCTACGGTATATAAATTCCTGTCCCATATGAAGTCTGAGTTTGCTGAATTACAGGTAAACATTAAATCTATTAGCCTTTCTAAGCTATTTTGAAGTTTGATTTTAAGTTTTAGGCATGTGTGCGAATATTCCCAAATACAAAAGCTCTACTCATTTATATTTTTACGAAGATAAGTCAATACATTAAAATAAATCATTTCACAAAAAGTGGAATAAAAAAATGGAAACATATAAGTGAATAGTAAGTAATAAGAAACACTCAAGAAGAAGACACCCAAATGGTGACCTCCATTAAGAAAGAATCTCTCTAGATTTTGGAACGTGGAATCAAAATAGTTAAAAGATGAATATTAAGAAATTAATTTTCCCAAGAATTTTTAAAAGTTTAATGGAAGGGAGGGGAAGAGAAACTCTGATCATATCACATTCCCGCTAAAGATCTTCAGTGGTACCTGCTCACTTGACTCTCTCCCCTCCATAGCTCACCAGCCTGGGACCCATACAACAATTTCCTTGCTGGGGCTGCAGTGTTCGGCAGGCTCCTGTCTTTCTATCACCATTCTGGGGCAACAAGTAACAACTTCAACTCTGCCCTGCCACTTGCAGAAGGGGTGACATATTGGAAAATGGACTCAGCTGGAGAAGTAAAGAAGAGAGGGAACTTGGGCAGGACAAAAGAATGTTGGATTATGTCAGGCCTAAAGACAAGGGGAAAGACAGCCCCAGAGACATTTGGGGCTATGACTGAGGCAAGCAAAGTGCAAATTCCCCAATGTGAGAGGAAGCTGAACCAGCTTATAAGTCTAGTTCCTGCAGGGAAAGTCAGCATCCAAGGGGAAGAAATCAGAAGGTAAGTGACAGGGAAATATAACAAAAAGGACTAGAACCACTAATGATCTAAGGGGAAAATATCTTCAGTTAAACACTTAGAGCACAAACAAATAAATCAACAAGAAAGATACTTACATCAGAAAGAGAGATGGCTACCAAGACAGCAAATACACTGCAAAGTTCTCTAAGTAAATAAGAAAGAAAATGGACCAACACCTGAAAAAAAACTAGAACCCTATGGATTCCCAGGAAACCATAGCAGGATGTTCCCAAATGGTTCAAAAGAGAAATCAGAATCTTGAATAAAGTTAAAAGGCAACAAACCAAAGAATTTCTAACTTGCACAGCAAAAATAGTTAGCAGAATACAAAAAAAACTTCAATATGGACTAGAGTATCTTCAAAGGAGTGAAAGAGAGGACAACTGATTGAGAATACAAATATGTTGACATGAAGGACAATCTGAAAGAAGAAAAGCTAAAAGCAATGAGTTTTTTTTTAAAAAAACACCACCATCTGCATACAAGCAAAATATACTGATCTTGAAGAAAGGATGTAGAGACAAGGATCATACAACTACCAGAAGAACATAACTAGTTTAAAAAACACTGTAATAATGACCTATGTTAAATCAACAACAGCCTTTTACAGAAATAGGTTTTTACAAGGATTTCTGGTTTGTAGAAATTCTTAGGCTATAACAAAGGCCCATCACACCAATCACTCTGGCTTCCTCTACATATCATGCTAACTCAAACCAATGAGTAAAATATTATACATGAAGAGTAAATCATAAAATCTGCTTGCAGATTAAATCTTACCTCAATTACATGGGGCCGGACTGACTTTCTTTCTTTTTTACTTCGACCAAGGCTTTTTATAAAATTTTCAACTTCTTTCTCTGCCTGAGACATCTGTTGAGGGGTAGCATTCACTGAACATCTGTTTTAAAACGTAAAATATGCACATATATATACATATATAAATATGAGCATATAAAATATGTATGCATACACGTACGTTATCAATTAGACACAACTCTGATGCCTCATTGTGGTGTGGTGATGACTCTGGGTTCTGAGCTGATGCTAGAATGTGCAAATAATTCTTCTTCGGGAAGACTTCACATTAGTCCCATTTTAAGACTGTCTAGTTTGATCAGCCTTGCTACATAGAAAGAAGTTCATCACCAGTAGGCTGGTCATTAGGTGACAAATGCTTTGACCACAGCACAAAGCAAAATACAAAATGAACTTCTACCCTTGGCAGCCTCCTTCTTCTGCTCTAGATCAGCGGCAAAGTGACAAAAAAGTGAGCAAAGGATACTAAAAACATGAGCTTTTGAACTGTGTATAAATATTAACAGCTAATACTTGAAATGTGAGGTGTTTGTCCAATTATAAGCCCTGAGATAAATGAATCTTAACAGTTTCGACCAGCTCACTATAGAGCACGGATTCTTATCTCAGAGTCTATGAACTTGTCTTTTTAACATTTTGATAACTGTATTTCTATATAAATGGTTTTCTTGGTAATCTTTTATTTTTATTATTTTATTTTTTATTATTTTCTTTTATTCATTTAAAACCAATACTCTGAGAAGGTGTCCGTAGGCTTCATGCGGCTGCCAAAAGAGCCCAAGATATAAAAAAGGTTAAGAACCCCTGCTATTCAGAAAACTAAAGGAACTACTAAATGGAATGATTTAAAGGTTCCCCTTGGAGAGGTAAATAAAGGAGATCATGAATTTAGCTTTATTATAAAATCAAAGACAACAAGAACTACCATTCCAACAGATACTTCTTCATGCTCTACTTCTGTGCTTAAGTATAAGCAAAACCCCAAAAAACAAATAAACAAAAAAACCAACACCACCCACCATGAAGATAAGTAAAACTTATGCAACAACATCAATGGCAAAGGATGAGAATGTAGAGAATTCCACAAAAACCACAGGAAAACTATCTAAATTAAAGCAACACGTAAATTAATGCTTGACGAATTAAATACACAGGTAGATGAAGGGGAGGATGGCAAAATATATGTTGGAAAATATGGCTCACTAAAACAGACACAAATACCTTGCACCTATACGTTATTAATACTTTATGAAGAACCAGGAGGTGACAGAGACGTTAAACATTACATTACATAAAAAACTCAACTATATCTTTACAGGTAACAAAAGGCTATTGAAGTATGAGTCTTCTGAATCAACGGTCAAACCATAGACTTGTTAGAAGAAAGATTAAAATCAGTGCAAAATTAGAACAAAAAAGCGAAGACAAATAATGTACTTAAAGCAGCAACATTATCGATTTAAACAAACTAAGGAGGTTCCAAAAAAGGAAATGGTTGAAGGAAGAGAGCTCAATGTAGACTATCACCATTTCTGAGGCAAGCTTATCATCAATGGTAATTAACTGCGACTATGAGGCCAAAAGAAATGAAAAAATGCCTCAGTAAGTAAATGCTTGGTCTACCTGCCAAGCACAGAGATATCTGGTAGACAAAATAATATCAGTTTAGAATGCAATCTCATTCATAAAATATTCCAGAGGAAGATGGCAGTTTATAAGCATTCTTACTTCACAAAATAACTAGAAATAGCAGAGAGGGAAAAGCATTTACAAAAAGCTTGACAAAAATTTCAATTAAACTAGATCATCCTGAAAGTACCTAAGAACAAAACTATAAGAATAGAGAAAAAAGTTATTATCTATTGAGATATCTATCACAAATTATTTATTCCATTGCTATAACAGTGAAATTACCCAATCTGGACTCTTCACATGCTGAATGAGTTATTAAATACTGAATGAGGAAGTAGAAATGACATTCTAGGACCTAAAGATGAGGAGTGTGCCTAGATTAGACCAAGTATACACAAAGGAGGACAATTATGGAGGTGATAATTTTGAAGATGTTAAGGGGATCAATTCTCAAGATATTTAAATAGGAGAAAACACTAAATGATTAGAGAGAAAAGCAACTATAAACCTTACTGTTGTGGGGGAAAAGCAATCAAAAAATCTTTATGAGAATAGTTTACTTTGATGGAAAGTATGAAAAGGGAACAGGCAGGTTCTACAAATGACATTAGGCTTTCTCAAAAGATATTCTAGAACAGACCACATCTTTAAAATAAGTCACACAAAAAGAATGAAAGAGGCTGAGAATAAAAAAGACCTCACAGAGTTCACTATTCTGTGTTGAAAATAAAACAATCACTTAATTTGGCTAAGCAAATTCCCACTATAAATGTTCTACAACTAGGTATCTCCTAGGTATACATTAAAATCATACAAGCTAGCCTTCGTTCCTCTCTGAACTTTCTCTATCCTGCCACAGCAACTACCTCACCCTGGAAGCTCAGTTAGCTCTTGACTTCCTTATAACACAGAAGTACAGTCTTCCCTTTCTGACTGATTGATTTCCTCTTAAACTTGTCATTTCAAGAAACAGTACCAAGGCCAGCCATATCTGTCTCTACCTCCGCGCTCCAGCCAAGATCTCTGGACATGCCCCCTTCTCCCTCCCCACCATCTTTTCAGCTTCCTTTCATGTGCTATGTTATCCCATTAAATATTAGCATCTTGACTGAGTTTTCTTTCTCTTTGTATCAGTATTTCCAGAACTTAACAGAATGCTTGGTTCACAATAACCACTTAATAAACGCTTAATGATTTGACATAAGATTTCTTGAAACAGTTTTGAAAAAGGACCTCTCAACTGTTAATATTAAATGAAGTATAAAACAGGGAAATATTTGCTAGCCAAAAGCATCAAGCACTGCTGTGAATGATGTTCAGTGGTGTCCAAATGGGAGATGCTCTATGATTGACAAGATCTTCCCAAAGTCCTTTTTAACAGATGACATTGTGGTATCTGCATCAAGCCCTGGAACACAGTAGAACCTACTAAACATAAGCCAGAATCACTCCGTATCGGCCAGCATAAAAATCCACATAGGAAAAATCCAAGAGAAGTTAAGAATGTTTATTGTCCATAGTGTGATATGTAGCTGGATGGAAAACCAACAAAGCTGTTTCATCAGAATACATATATAGAGGTTGAAGATGGACAATGAACTGGGCCCAGAAATAATGAGAATATCCATATCAATAAAACAACATAAATGCCAAAATAACCAAGTATTTAACTAATATTCCAGTTAATAACTGATTTTATTTTTCTTTTTTAAATGTATATTTTATCAGTCTGGTAAGGTGTTTTGTTTTGTTTTTAAATCTAAAATTTCACTGGTGTAGGGCACTCCCAATAAGGAGTTCCCTGTACCAATGCTGATCTGCCACAATCCTATAACTTGTGTTCTGGGCCATTCCCTGGGACACTGAGAGGTTAAGGCCCTTCCTTAGGCTAGTATGTATAGTCAGTATGTATCAAAAACGGAACTTATCTTCAAGTCTTTCTGATTATGACCTATACTGCTATCTACATTTACTCAAGTTAATTACTGTATTGGAGATTTTTTTTTTAGCATTAATCAAAAAGAAAAAATCAACCTATCACAGAAAGAAATCAAGAAATTTCTTTTGAAGTTATACACAAAAACCATATTTAGCAAAAATTAGTAAATCACACACAAAAATATATTTAGCAAAAATAAGTAAACCACAAGGTTATTTGATATCTGAGAAACCATTAATTCTTACCTCATATTATCAGAATTTAATAAATGTTTCTTGATGCGTGGAAGTTTTCTTAGGATTGGCTTAATGTCTGACATTTCTGCAACTCGCTTCATTAGTCTCACCTGACCCAAAGCAATGACATACGTACATATGTTACATGGAAAAGTTAAAACTAGTTACTTAAAAAACAGAATTTCTGGTAGTGAATCTAAGTAAATTTAAGATACCAACAGTTTCTGTGAGTTTGCTCAGTACAGGGAAAATTTAAAGGTTTTTTTTTTTGCTGAAATGTGGACAGGAAGATAAGATTCTGTATGCATGCAGGTTAACATTTTTGACTTTTGTATAATTTATTTCTTTTAGTAAAATCACCTCTACAAATGTTTATAAAGTATCTACTATAAGTGAAGCCACACAGCGCTCGGTCCTAGGGATACAAAGACAAAAACTAAGTAGTTCTAGCCGTCAGCAAGCTTTTATTTGACTAAGGGAATACGTAATATGCATGAATAAGTGTGATACAAGATGTGACAAAAGATGAAAGAGCAGGGCACTAATGACATGGAGGTCAGATTATTCTTTCATGACAGAGGTGACACCAATGACAAACCTTGAAGAAAGTCAAGTACTGTGGGAAGAAGAGGTGAGAATGAAGTTCATTCCCAGGAGGAGGAATGGCTTTTGCAAATGTCTGGAATTGGGAGGTGGAATGCTCCAATTTAATTACTTGACTGAAGCTAATAAATCCAGAATAATCAATTATTTCTTTACCTGATCCATGCCATTAAAGGTTTCTAGCAAGTCTCCAGCAGGAGTAAGTGTTCTACTAGCTCTAACAGATGCATATAAATGGCCAGAATTAGGAATTCCATTTGAAAGCTCTTGAGCACTCATTTTAACTAACACTTTAAAGTGTTCCTCATCTTCAAAGTGTGGGCTATAAAAAAATAAAAGAACAGCTTATTGTCAACACAAAAGACAATCCCTTATGTAATAATGGAACTGAAAAACAATTCAACAATGATTATCTATCTCTGCCCCTCCCAGGATAAGCTCAACACCTCAAAACTCAGTTCCTAATCCAGTGCTTGACTGACACCACCTCCCTCAGCCACTTTTCTCCTCCATCCAGAGAGCTGGAGGACAGAGCACCAAACTCTCAGATCACTCTCCTTTGCATCTGCTGCTCTGCCTGGTTTCAACTCCAGGGAACAAAATTGCCCCTGGTGTCCTTACTCCTCCCCCATTTCCTACCTCCTTTTATATGTTATCTCCCTATCTCAATTAATTGTAACCTTATAGAGGGCTTTTCTTTTTACTACTTGTATCCCTAGCAATTAATAAATGTTTCTTGGACTGAACTGGAACTATGTTCAGCTTGGGTATGCAACACAATTCCCAACTTTAAGATACTTACAATCTAGTAAATGATATTAGATATGTATACCAATAACTACCAGCAGATCCACAATCATATTTTATCAAATTAAATCATGATTAAATATATTAAATGAAGTCAAAGTTGCTTGAAAGAAAGGGGAATGAGGGAAGATTTTGTGGAAGAGATAGACCTTGAAAGAAGAAATGAGGAGAATACTATCTACACATGGGAAGTACTCTGGGCGAACACACAGAGTAAGAAAGGGCAGAACAAGTCTGAGAATAGCAAACTGGCTGGCATGCTATGTACAAAGAGGAAAAGTGAGGAAAACAGCTAGAAATGCTACTTGGAGGCAGACTGTTAAGAATATTAAAAGGCAAGCTAGAGTTAATACTGTATTTAACAGCCAATCAAGAGCAACTGAGGATATTTTATACTTACTGAAAATCTACTTTGTATTAATTTATAGACTATGTAAAAATTTGTCATAATCTGGTCCAAGTCCAGAATTACAAAAATTTTTTTAAAGTAAACTATTAATGATTAAGCACTATGACTAAAGTCCTCTTTACTTCTAGGATTTAGACTTCCAGAGTATCTAAAAGGTAACATTATGTGCAAGTAATGAAGCCATGTTACTTGTTAAATATTTCGCTCCATAAATGCATCATGTCTGACAGATTTCGATCCAAGCACAAAGATGAGAACAGCACCCCCTGAAAAGAGAAAAATAAAATCCATTGTTGGCCAGTCTACAAAAAGCTAAATAATATTTTTAAACCCTCTTAATTGACGTTTAAACTGCAATTGCGACCGTGGAAAAGACAAAATATGATTACCTGTTCATACATATCTAAATCTGAATCATCTGGAATCACGTGAGGAGAGACCGACATTCCTCCCGTTCTCAGTTCTATTTGCTGAGCTAGTTCTCTATAGTTATAAACGCCACAACCCATTCTGTTAACAAAGAAATACTCATTTAAACTTCATCATTGTTTTAAAATACATGTATGTAGACATAAAATTACTAGTAAGTATCCTAAATCAATTCATTATAATCATAGCACTGAAAATGCTATTCTTTATACTTCATCATGAAGTATCTATGAAGTGTCTATGAATTTTAACAGCACCCCTCTAGATGTCTCTATTAATTCCCTACAAAAAGAAATTACAGGGGGGCAGCTAGGTGGTGCAGTAGATAAAGCACCGGCCCTGGAGGACCTAATGTCAAATCTAACCTCAGACACCTGACACTTCCTAGCTGTGTGACCCTGGACAAGTCACTTAACCCCATTGCCTAGCAAAAAAAAAAAAAGAATAACAAGAAATTACAGTCAACAGATTATATGTGTACGTACCTATAAATATCCACAGAAACTACACTAGTAGTGTCAAGAAATCAAATTTTAAAAATATCTGTCCATCTCTAAATATAATTAATTCCTCTAGCCTTTTCCTCTTCTACCATTTTCTTTACCCCATTTAAATGGTTCAGTGTTCCAAGGAGGAAAAGGATTAAGCAATAAGTGATTGTATGTATAGCCCTGGAAACAGGAAGACTGACTTCTGAGGTCATCTCCCTCACAAAGTTAAGGCACTTAAGTTTCAAACAATTTATAAAACCTTCCTGGGATTGTCTCAACTCAAAATGAAAATATGGCAGATGACCTAAAGAAAAGCAGAGCCAAAAGAATAATTGTGAAGACTCTATTATGTCAAAAAATATCAATTTTTAAAAAAATCAATAAAAATATAATAAAGATTCAATGAAAAGATTACTGTAAGCAAGGACAGAACAGTAAAAACAAAGAAAAAAATTAACCCCCAATATTTTCCAACTTCAAATTTTTGAAGGGAATGATGGACCTGGAAAATAAAAGGAAGAAAAAATTCTGGTATTATCAGGCTTCCCAAAAATCATGAAGAAAAAAAAATCTGGCCAAATGATAAACAGTAAGAGAAAACTTCTGGAAAATAATGAAAAAGAAGAGTACACGGCAAACTGACAGAAGTGAGCTGCTAACAATGATGAATGCCAAATTCAGCTCACTCAGACAAGTATTTTCAATACTCAAAATAAAAACACCAATGAAATTACTTTTAAGCAACCAAAAAGTATGGCATCACAATCAAAAACCTATCACATAGAATTGCACAAGATTTTTCTTCCAAGGGAAAAAAAAAATTATAGAAACTGGAACCAGATAAACTCAAAGTTAAGAGACTTCACCAAAAATAAAAAATCAGCTAAATATAAGTAACCTTTTCAAAGATAAGCAATGGTCATTAAAGCTGCATTAATCTAAGAAATTTATGGTGGTAAAAGTTAACCTTACAATTTCTGACATGAAAATAAACATAAGAGCACAAGCTGTATCAAGTTAATAAATACTGAAATCAACAGACACTGACAGTTGTAATAAATTAGCCTCTTTCTCAAGGCAATCTCTATAGAGGGATTAAAAATAAAAGTAACATTATATGGGCTAATAAATTAGTGAGCCAAATAAATGGATTTGAAGGGATGAGGGGGTGAAGGAAGGAAAAAGGAAGAGAGTAATAAGTGCACTGGATCATAAGGATACAGACTGGACCTATGATTTCATCAGCATAGGAACTCTCAGGTGAGGAAACTCCTTGTACCAATGGTACCCTCTCTCAGCAACTTGTAATTGTCGAAAGTAGCCTAAAGTACTGATGAGTTAAAAGGACAAGGCCAATGTCAAACATAGCCTGTTTATGTCAGAAGTTGGGAATCCAAGTCTTCTTTACTTCAAAGCCAACTCTAGCCACTAGTCATGCTGACCCTCAGTGGTCTCTTTGGAGCCAGAAAGGTCTCTGAAGGGCATCTAGTCTAATCCTCTCTCTCTTTTTTTTTTTAAGGCTAGGCAATGGGGTTAAGTGACTTGCCCAGGGTCACACAGCTACTAAGTGTTACGTGTCTGAGGCCGGATTTGAACTCAGGTACTCCTGACTCCAGGGCTGGGTGCTCTATCCACTGCGCCACCTAGCTGCCCCTTAATCATTTCATTTTATAGATGAGATATCCAATTAAATGGGGTGGGGGGAGGAGGCAGAGTAACAAAGATAAAAAAGGAGGGTTAGGGGGATGCTATCCAAAGTAATACTCCTGTCTCAAACATAGGGACACATATTTGAAAGACTATATTTGACCATAATGGACAAACAAAATGATAAATCATATAAATATATCAAAAGATACAAAAAAGGCCTTTGATAAAATACAAAAATCTTTTGTTAGAAACTAACAGCTAGCACTCTATATACAGGAAAACATCTTAATAAACCATTATTATTTGACATAGTTTCAGAAGTGCTAGCTACAAAGGGGGGAAAAAGGGGTTTTTTCCCCTTGTTTTGCATTTAAGTTTAAAATGAATAAAAATTTTACAAAAAAAAAAAAGAAGAAATGATTAAACAAAATCAAAAGAATAAGAAAACAGAAGAAAATGTGAAATTTCTCATTGGAAAAACTGATCTGGAAAACAGATTCAAGAGAAATAATTTAAGAATTATTAACTACATGAAAGCCATAATCAAAAGGACCTGGACATCATATGGGGTAAATTATCTCACATAAAAGAGGTGAGAAAGAGCTGTTATAATGGAGGAAAAGATGGGAGGGTGTGGGTCTGTGGCAGGCAATACCTGAACCATACTGTCATGTGAAGTAGCTCACAGAGAAAATAACATACACATTCAGTTGGGTATAGAACTCTTATCTTACTCTATAAGGAAGTAAAAAAGGGGTGGGGGATAAGAGAAATAATTTTATAGACAAAGGGCTATAAAACTGTGCACATCCTCTGATCCAGCAATACCACTGCTAGGTCTGTGTGAGAAAGAGAGACAGCCAGAGACAGAGAGAACTGTACAAAAATATTTATGGCAGCTCTTGTGATGGCTAAGAATTGGAAATGAAGGCGATATTCCCATCAACTGGGGAATGGCTTAACAAGTTGTGGTACTTAATTTTAACAGATTATTACTGTGCTCAGCAACTTGTAATTGTCGAAAGTAGCCTAAAGTACTGATGAGTTAAAAGGACAAGGCCAATGTCAAACATAGCCTGTTTATGTCAGAACAGTGACAAGCAGGATGATTTCAGAAAAACCTGGAAAGACTTACATGAACTGATATAAAGTGAAGTGAGCAGAATAAGGAGAAAATCATACAAAGTAACAACAATACTATACAATGAAGAACTGTGAATGACTTAGTTATTCTCAGCAATACAATGATCCAAGACAACCTCAAACGACTCATTATGAAAAATGCAATCCACCTCTGGAAAAAGAAGTAATGTTATCTGAAAACAGACTGATGTACACTATTTTTCATTTTCTTTCTTTCCTTTTTCTTTTCCTTTTCCTTTCTGGCACAAAAAGACTAATATGGCTGCACATGTATAATCTATATGAGATTCTTTACCATCTCAGGGAGGGGGGAAGAAAGGGAGGAAAAGATAGAATTTGGAATTCAAAACTTTAAAAGAAAAATGTTAAAAATTGTTTTAACATGTAATTGGGGAAAAATAAATATTTCACTGGATCCTTACAACAACTCTGGGAGACAGCTGTTAATATTATACCCATTTTTACAACTGAGGAAACTGAGGCAGAGAGCAATTAAGTGATCTGCCCAAGGTGACACACCTAGGAAGCGTCTTGATTCCGCATTTGAACTCAGGTCTTCCTGACTCCAGGCCTAGTGCTCTACCACTGTGCCATCTATGTGTGTGTTTGTGTTATTTATATATCTGTCCTCATAACAAATATCAAAATCATCTTACTTTGTAAGGACACTGCAGAAGAGAGGCACATATGGCCTAAGTTCTTCAGGAAGTGTATTCAGATTAGAAAAGGCTCTGAAATATACCACACCATTGGTTGGTTGAGCACAGTACTGGACAGGGATTTCACCTGCTATAGGAGACAAAAAGTAATGTATGATTAGTATGGAATTGCAAGAACTACTAAGAAGTATATGATTATTTTTGATATTTAAAAATGCTACTAGAGAGGATGCTGGAAAGATAGCAGAGTAGGTCAGAAAACTCCAAGCTCTCAAGATTTTCCCCACAAAGAGAGATGAAATAGCATCTCAGGGAGAACACTGAGAAGTAAAAATAAATAAGAGTAGGGATAGAACAGGGGTCCTCCTAAGACGATTGGAGAAGATCTGAAGAAAAGTCCCAGGACAAGGCTTGGTCCCTGTGAAGAGTAAACAGCTCCAGGCTAGGTCCTAGGAACCCTTAAATAACAAGTGGCAAGCCATGGGGTTCAGCTCAGTTGGGAGGCTGGCTAGGCAGGAACTTCTACCCCCAGGGACAGTGAGGAGTATGAGGCACCTAAGCTGGGCAAGATCCAGAGAAGGTCTGCTGAAAAGGAATGCCAGACACAGCTGTGCTGCGGAGACCCAGCAGGAGTAAGAAGGAACTAGCACACGCCCGGTGAGTCCAGAAGCAGCAAGGCAGGGACACAGCTGGCTGTGGCCACTTACCAGAGGCTGGAGGCCTTGGTTCCAGTTCCATGCCAGAAGGGAGAACTAAAGGAGGATCTGAGGCCAGAGGCACCATCCCTCACACCTCAGTACTAGAAGTGACTATAAAAACTAAGCTACTACAAATTAGAAAAAAAATACACAAGCAAAGGAAAAAGAATCCAACCACAGTGAGTTACTATGGGAATAGAGAAGACCAGGGTTTGTCTTCAGAAAATAATGAAGCAAAGAAATCCTCTTCTACCCCAAAGAGCAATGTCAAATGGCCACCTGCTGAAAAAGAATTCACAGAAGAACTTAAAAAAGACTTTAAAAATCAAATAAGAGGTCTAATAGGCAGGGCCAAGACGGCGGAGTGAAAGCAGCAACTTGCTTCAGCTCTCCCTCAAACCCCTCCAAATACCTATAAAAATGGCTCTAAACAAATTCTAAGGCAGCAGAACCCACAAAAAGACAGAGTGAAACAAATTTCCAGCCCAAGACAACCTGGATGATTGATCAGAAAGGTATATCGTGCCAGGCTGGTAGCTGAGCACAGCACGGCATGGGCGCACAGGCCTCAGAGGACTGAATCAGGGGCAGCTGTGGAAGCTTCCAGACTCCTCAATCCACAAATGCCAAAGACAACTTAGAAGGTCAGTGGGAAAAGTCTGTTTCTGCAGTGCTGAGAGAGGAAGGTGTAGTCTCAGATCCAGTTCCCCAAGAATGCGACCCTGGGGTGGGCAGCTTCTGCCTACAGACTGAGGGGGAATCAAGTGGCTGATCAGAGAGGGATTGCAGGGATCTCTCTGCTGGTGCTGAGGCAGGAATCTCTTGCTTTGCCCGTGCTTGGATCTGGGTCACAGTTCTGGACAGGTCCTGGTATAAGGAGGAGCGCTGGCAGGGTGGAGCTTGTTGTGGCTATGGACAGGAAACCTTCCTCACAGTTCCAGGACAGAAAGCAGTGCTTGTGGTCACTAACAGACCACAGCACAGGCCAGGAAAGGAGTAAACACCTTGCCCCTTATCATACCACCTTGCAAGAACTGAAAATTTACGGTCCCTACAAGTATCTCTGAAAACAGCTATATAAACCCCCGAAGCTTGGGACAGTACATTCTCCACATTGCAAGCAGACTCTTACCTTAACAAAGAGTTTAAAACTCAAGTAACTGGCTGGGATCATGAGCAAGCAGTGCAAAAAGAGTCAGACTTATTATTTTACTTTGGTAAGAAGATCAAAATATACAACCAGAAGAAGACAACAAAGTCAGAGCTCCTACACCCACAGCCTCCAAGAAAAATATGAGTCAGTCCCAGGCCTTGGAAGAGCTCAAAAAGGATTTTGAGAAGCAAGTAAGAGAAGTAGAGGAAAAACTGGGAAGAGAAATGAGAGTGATGCAAGAAAATCATGAAAAACAAGTCAAGAACTTGCTAAAGGAGACCCAAAAAAATAGTGAAGAAAATAACACCTTAAAAAATAGCCTAACCCAAATGGCAAAAGAGGTCCAAAAAGCCAATGAGGAGAAGAATGCCCTAAAAAGAAAAATTGGCCAAATGGAAAAGGAAGTCCAAAAGATTACTGAAGAAAATACTTCCTTAAAAATTAGAACAGAGCAATTGGAGGCTAGTGACTTTATGAGAAATCAAGACACTGTAAAACAAATCCAAAAGAATGAAAAAATAGAAGAGAATGTGAAATATCTCACTGGAAAAACAACTGACCTGGAAAATAGATCCAGGAGAGAGAATTTAAAAATTATTGGACTATCTGAAAGCCATGATCAAAAATCAGATAAGAGAGATTGAGGAAAATCTAAAAAAAGACTAAGAACAATCCAAGAAAAACAAGAAGATTATGAAAAGTAAGTCAACCAATTAGAAAAAGAGAGCCACAATCTTGAGGAAGAAACAACTCCTTGAAAATCAGAATTGGCAAGGGGAGGCCAGTGAAGTAACAAGAGATCAAGAAATAATAAAACAAAATACAAACAAAGAAAAAATAGAAGAGAATGTGAAACATCTCATAAGAAAAACAACTGATTGGGGCAGCGCAGTGGATAGAGCACTGACCTTGGAGTCAGAAGGACCCGAGTTCAAATTCCACCTCAGACACATAACACTTACTAGCTGTGTGACTCTGGGCAAGTCACTTAACCCCAACTGCCTCACCAAAAAAAAAAAACAAAACCCAAAACCCCAAAAACCAAAAAAAACAAAACAAAAAAAAAAAGAAGAAACCGATCAGGAGAACAGATCAAGAAGAGAAAATATAAGAATAACTGGACCATGATAAAAAAAAAAGAAATCTTGATACAGTAATACAAAAAATAATTAAAGATAATAGTCCTGAAGTATTAGAACAAGAAGGGAAAGTAGAAACAGAAAAAAATCCACCTATCCCCTCCTGAAAGAGATCCTATGAGGAAAACCCACAGGAATATTATAGTCAAATTCCGAAACCCCTAGGCTCGAGGATAAAATATTACAAGCAACAAGAAAAAAAAGATTTAAATATGGCAGTGCCACAATTAGAATCACACAATACCTAGCAGCGCTAACACTAAAAATAATAGGAGACCAAGGTAGCAGGTAGAAGTAAAGTGGAGGAAGAACAGGAAATAAGAGATGTACAAACATAAAAACAAAGATCAGGAGTAGAATTTGTTAGGGAAAGTGTATGTCTATATTATGTATGTATGTGTATACATGTATATGTGTATGTATATATCTATATCTATGACTATATACTCGCTTAATTGTAGCCTTTGCAGGGGGGAAGAAATGGGAGAAAAAAAAAACAAAGTAAAAAGTGCACAGCAGAGAACAAAAGAAAACTAACAAGAAAGCAAAGATGTACAGCTCTCAACACAATGTGTATTTATCATATAGGCTTTCTTGACATGGAAATTTATTGCTATAAATTTTGAATCCTGTCTTATGTTCCACTGTGCACATGACATGCTTTTTTCCCCTTTCCTTATTTTGTATTTAAGTTTCAATATCTAAGTTCATAATAGGCTTCTTTTACTTTTCTTATTGTGCATTTAAGTTTCAGTAATAAAAAAGTCCCCAAAATGATACTGTTGTTTATAGTAAACAACTAAAATTATACAATCATATTTAGTGTAATTCAGCTCACTTTCATTCACTTTCTATAGCCTACAGTTTAATGTCAATTTAAGATTTTAAAATTTAATTCACAGTAAATTTTGGAATATAATCTTAGACACAAACTGTTTTCAGTTAAATTTTAAGATTGAGAATTTTCTAAACAGCTTTTTCATTTTGTAAGTAGTATAAACTTGGCATTTAAGGCTTAGTTTGGCTTTTAAAGTTTCCACCCTTTGATCCAATCCCTGAAAAAGAGTTATGAATTCTGGGTTCTACGTCTTTGCTTACACTATAATGTCTATCATACTCTTCCTGTCTACTTTTTTTTTAATAAGATCTAGAGCTGGAAGGGACTGTAAAGGTCATCTCATGCAAACTTCTCATTTTGCACATGAGGAAAGTGATGCCCAGAAGTTAGATGACTTGCCCAAGGTCACATGGCTAACAAACTGAAGAATCAGGATGCAAACCAGGTCTAAATCCAATTTTTGTTCCATTATATTGAAATAAACAATACTTTAAAATTTATAATTCCTATCACTAAAATGTCTCATATAAGTCCTCACTCAGCCCAGGGGCAGAGGCAGAAATAAAATGTGAATTACTACTTATCTAAGTACTGGGGAGAAGAGGGCAACAGGGCACTAGACTGGGAGTCAGGAAACCTGGTTATTGGTTCTGTATTTCACTCATTCTCTAAACTTCAACATTGCTGCCCTCCTCCCTCAGGACCTAGCTTAATGAGCAGAGACGGTTCAGGGATCTAGTCCATTTTTTGTTTCCTTCTTCTGGACTCATGGATAGTTTCTGTGGCTTGTCCTTGCCTCCTTCTTCCTATGATTTTTTTTCTCCCATAACTCCAACTAGGCCAAAATTATGTTTGGGCAAAAGAATCATGAGTTGAACTACTCCCCTCGAAAATTTGTACTACATCCAGTACCAGGATTCACACCCTCCACTAACTTCAAAAAGAGAAAACGACAAAACCACATCAAACCATCTCCAAAGAAAACCAAAGCCGAAGCACTAAATAAGCAGGCCAGCAAGAGACAGGCTCCAGGAAAAGTTTAGCTGTCACAGACTATAGAGAACCAGAAGTAAAATAAAGGGAGATTCACTGGCTGGAATACTGTAATTCCTTTTTTAACAGCCAAAGACAAAGTTTACTAAAGATTCGCCATGTTGGCCACAGTTTTAAGGAATCTGAACATTTGTGACCCTCGTATTGACAAGTGGGTGAGAGTGAATCTCAGCTGTTGGCTAGATTTTAAGAATCTGAGCTAGCATACTGTAATTCTTAAGAGAAAACAGTATTATGTATCTTATTTATTCGCAACTCAAATGAAACCAAAATGAAGTCAGAATTTTCTCCCACAACACTGATGTTCAAATTACAATGACCTGCCAATGCTGTATCCATCTCAGTAGAGGGTATAGTGGGCTCAATGTCAGACACTTTTAATGCTGGTAGACAAGTAGCATCTTGTGGTTCACTTTGCAAATTCTGTAATTCTAAACCTAAAAAGAGAAAAAGAAATGACTGAATTATGGTTTCAATTTAAAAATGTACTCAATCCTATTACTGATTCTACAACTCTGCAGACACAATTAAACATTACAAACCTCTGTTTTTAGTTGATTCCTTTAGGAATGCTGTAGTATTTCTAAAAACTTTGATTAATATTCTTAAGAAATTATTTTTCTAAGCTTTCTATATATTACAAACGTCCTACATTGAAAGCAAATAGTATTTGATTAGCTAACAGTAGTAGCTGTTGTGGATTCACAGAATCTGAGAGGGAAGGGAAACCCTGCAATCATCTCCTTTAATTCATATCTGAACAGGAACCGTGCTGTTCTACAACTTCCCTCCATCATTCCTAATTCTGTCCTCTGGGGTCTAGTAAAACGAACCTCATCTCTCCCCCACATGACAGCCCTACAAATGCTAGAAGACAGCTATGGTTTGCTACCAACTTCTCTAGCTTAACCATCCCCAGTTCCTTCACAGTTGATGAATTTGTTGTATGGTTTTGAGTTTAAGGCAATATTCTGGATGCCTACATCTAGAAATACTCTGGCCTTGTCAATTTCCTTCCTAAAATACGGATTCAAGATGTGGTCTGACCAAATACAGCTGAGCCAGATTTTTTCATTTTCCTTCTTCTATACCTCTAAGGTAAAGAGAGAAATGGAAGCATTCCACGTGCCAACGGACTGCCTTACCTAATATTTTTTTCACTTGTTCCTGAATCCTGGCTTTCTTTGGTGTCTTTAATTAAGCCACGTGTCCTTTCCTTTTGGATCTTCACTTAAACAAGCCAAATAAACAAGCCTACTGCTTCAACAGACAAAATTTATACTGCACTTACTAGGGAATGTGTTAAGCACTTCACAATTATTTCATTTGATCCTCACAACAACCCTGAGAGATAACTGCTGTTATTATCCCTACCTATCTTATAGATGACTTATAATAACTGACGTATGAAATTAACATAACCAGGAGAACAATCTACATGATGACCAAAACAATAAGTTGAGAGGAAATAATGCTGAAAGATCTCAGAATTCTGTCTAAAATAACAGCCAATTATGAATTTAAAAGCGTTAAGTATGAAACATACTTTTTAACTCGATGGCAGAGAAGTTATTGACTAGAGGTGTAGAATGGGCATTCTTAGGCATAGCCAATGTTGACTTGTTAAATACCTGATTATGTATACTTGTTACACTCGGGGAGAGGGGTGGAGAAGCTGATTAGTAACAGACATGGGGGGGGGGGAGAAGCTAAATTTTATTCAGCGGCATTAATCATTTTAACCAAATGGTTAACTAAACAAGTTTAGGTGTTTTTGTTGATCATCAATATCAAATTTTCAATTAAACATTTAAATTTTTTAAGAAGTGACAGGAAAATAAGCACTGCTGGACTGTTTCAATAAAGCAGATAAAATATGAATGCTGATTTGACATTAACAAAGGAAGGAAGAACTGTGATCATGTATATAGCATTGTGGGATCAGACATATCAATTGATGTCAGCGATATTTCCCACGATTTCCCAAATTACAATGTAAGTAAAAAGGCAGAAGTTAAAAAAAAATTAAGACACTGATAGGGTGTAATCAACACTGTTGGGAGTAGCCATAATGATGGCTTCACAGATCCCACCAAGTATCATAATTACGTCAACACTAAAAAATTGTTTTCTGACTTAAAGACGTTTGGCTTTTCTGTATAAGTAAGAATTCACTTATAAAAGTAAAAGGTAGGAATAAGGTGAACGTTAAAAATTAAATAGCACATTTGTTAGACATGTTGCTTCTACATTAAGATATAAAACTAATCTCTCCCCTCCTAAGCCCACGTTCTATCCTCTTTGAGTCGCAGCACCACTGTATAGTCTCCTAGCTGAAACTGTGGAGTTTTATTCTTTCCTCTCCCTACCCCACCCGATGGCAATGAAGCCTATAATTCTTTGCAATTTCTTGCATGTTTTTGTACTGCTCAAAGAGCTTGGCACCATAACTTAACATATGATGGGTTTCCAGTAAATACATGATTGACTGAAATGACACCAACTTCTTCATTAACTATGCCAACATAACTAATGTGGTACTACAGGTTTACATTATAGGATGTTACAAGAAAGATCCTGTTTAAAAAAGACATCCTCTCTATATTTAAAAACCTACAAAAAATCCTAACCTTTTTCATATATGTGTAGCTTCTCTTTCATAGAAAGAGAATCAATCTTTTGTTTCAGTTTTTCCATTTCCATTTGTGCTTGCTTGTCATAATATTTTTCATCTGGATTCATAGATAAAGTCAACCTGTGTGGGTTATTCTGTAACAAAAAAATAGCAAAATAAATCAAGATAATATTGAAAATTACCACTTATTTTTCTTTGCATTCTAAAGTTATCACTAATAGAAAAAATACAAACAGCACCCACTGCTCAATTTTCACCAAATGAAATAAAGAACTTTGCTAGTTACCTTAACAATCTCAATAATTAAGAGAAAAAAGTTTGTCCAAAATTATCCAGATAAATGTTTTTGGTTCTATTTGTTTTACCAATGAAAATGGACTGTGTACACAAGCAAATAGCTATACGAATTATTATAACCATCTGTTTACATAAAAACAAATCAACTCTGAAATAAAAATTAAGCAGAACACTGACAAACCTAGCCCAGCATTTATTCACTCTAGATAATTAATAAACAATTCACATATTTGTTGTGTTACTTAAAATGTGACATAAATAGAAACCCTTGCAATTACTACCCTGCATATATACAAGTGAAACAAAAAAAAAAATCTACTATTCAGAGAAAGTGAAACTGTTGCAGGGAAGGGAGAGCAGCAAGTTCTTACTTCAAAGGGCTTTGTGCGGACAGCTTTAGCCACTTTTAATCAAGCAAGTTAAAATTAAAATCAACTTTGTCTTTTTAAACCAACAGCTAAAATTATACTTGTGATATGCATCCTAAAACTTTATAAAATAGAAATGCTTCCCTTAAGCAGAGATGATTTCCATTTTTTTTCTTCATGTTAGGAAGTATGCAATGAGTATGAATGCTTTTAAAGAGAATCTGATAAATGAAGACTTTTCATGACATTGGTGAAAAATTAGGCTTTTTTTTGGGGGGGGGAGACATGATAAATGACTATTAAGGAATAAGGCATTTAACAATAGCCTAATTTGGAGCACATCATTTTCTCTTGGTTTTGGATTAATAAGTTTTTATAGCTAAGTGGTTAGCTTTATTTCTGTGAATAACATTACATATTCAGAACCACCCTTGAGATCTCTACTCTCTAAAGCTGTAAAACATTCCAAGTAGTATCTTTTGGGATTCTTACATCACTAAATAGATTCCTATCACTATAATGGCTTTTCAACTGCAAAAATAACTCATTCATTTTAACCATATATTGCTATAACCCACCGCAAACAACAGAATGTAAATATAGCTTGTTATCCTAAAACTTAAAGCAAGGAATCATAGCGCGCACACACACACACACACACACACACACACACACACACACACACACACACGTATATTTTGCAGCAATCTTAAAAAGCAAGAACAGAAGTCTAACTTGGCCATTACCACTTTAATAGCTGTAACCATTTTTGTTTATGTTTGTTTTTAACATGCATGGTAATATACATTTTACTTGTCCTGTCTTTATCAGATTGTAAATTACTTGAAAGATTAGACCATTTCTTTTAGAAACACACAGTAGATCACTACATAAATGGTAGGCAATATAGAAAAAAGTAAACTGATTTAAAACCATGTATACAACTTCAATAAATAAAAATAACATTAATGATCACTTGTGAGGCCACAAAAAGAATAAGACTGTAACCATACCTTATAGCAATAATATGATTCATTAAAGTGATTACATCCAGCACAGGCTGGTACCTCTCATGAAATATAACAACTATGTAAGTAAGTTATCCCATCCTAAAATATAAGCATTAATTTTGTTCAACACTAGTGCCATACAAACAAGGTTTTCACCTCACTTAATCAGTATATACCAAGGAAAAATATGGCATAAAAGACATAGTTCCAGCTTTCAAATCAGAAAGAATGGGATCCAGTCCTGCTTCTGATGTATACTAGATGTGGGACTATAAGGAAGTCACTTAAACCTCTCACTGTCCCAGACAACTCTTTAAATTACAGATAAACTGCTGACATTAAACAGTACAGGAGTACAATGATGAAGCCTAGTCATTAAAAGAAATTAGCTTACATGATACTAGTACTAATAAGCTATGCATAACAGCTTCAATCCATCCCTTAAACTCATGATTTTCTTTGTAAAAATCCAAATTCCTCTTCTAGTTTTTCCTAGGTCATTGTGAAATCATGAACACAATTTCTTCATTCTTCTTACCTTAAAATACTGCTTGACTTTTTCTTGCAGAAAATTTGGGTTTTCCTTAAGGCACTTTCTGAATCGAGTCACTTGATTTCCTATATTTAAAAGTTCAATGGGATCCCCTTCATGATTCCAGCAGGAAGCTATATACTACAATAAAGAATTTTTATTGGGTACATAATGTATATTCTGGTTAGAAAACATTACCATGCTAGAAAGTATTAAAGTATGTCAGTATTACTTATTTTCTTCCAGAATATGAAATCCCACGGGCATAATTTTATACTAGGATACTGGTAGCAAAATCCCAATCCAAGCAAGGAAAATAGTAGCCACCTATGTTCCCTTATGTTTACATATGCTACCAGGAATACAGAAATGATGGAAGGCTTATTATTACCAACCCTGGCTTCAAGAAGCACTAGCATATTATGATCTATTATTTAGGAACACCTGACTTACATGTATTCAAAAGAAGAGGATGGCAAGTAAAAATATATTACAGGATAATTCCTTTTAATTAATATCCAATATTCCATTCTTTAAGGATCTATAATTTCACTGATAAACTACTACAACAAAACTACAATCATTCTATGCCTGAATCAATGAGCTGATAAATCCAAAAAAATTTCACACCCTGACAGACCTCATGGTGATAAGCTTCTCTAATATGAACCTGATCCAAGGTTAAGAGATATATAATCCGTACGTGAAGCTTTTTTAGCTTGCTAAAACCTGCTAATGCACTCTGATAAATACTATGAAAATCCAGCACCATGTTCAAGCCATCATAATATGGCATTGATATATCAATATACCCTAGTCATCTTCTTCATACAGAACAGTAAGGTGAATGCTAAGATATTGCCTAAAAAATGGTAAACTTCACTTTTAAAAATATTACCAGGAAATGACACTAAAATCAATAGAAATGTCCATTTCATGTATTAAATGTAGAAATTTACTTCTTAGAAAAAAACACAAAAAGCATCTCAAAAAAGGCACTTATGATGAAAATTTACCTAAAAATGGTTAACTAAGGCAAACGAACAATGCAGACAAAACAAGGACCACTGATTAAATTTTTCTAAAAATAGCTGACACTTTTTTAATGCTCTAGATAAAACAAAATTAAGTAATTACATACGGATGACAGAGCAAGTCCAAAACTAGTTGACTGGTGCTTCATTTGGATTTCAATTTTTTGTAGTAAAGCTTCAACTCTGTCATCTTCAAACCCTTTCCTAAAGGACAAAAGCATAAAAAGAATAAATGAAGCCTCTAAAAATTACTGAACAACAAATTAAATGCCAACACTGAGACATAATACATAAGATGACTAAGGACGAGCTAAGTATCAGTTCTATACTACATGAAATAGAAGCAAAAAAAGAAAGAAAAAAGATTATCTTTTTCATAAAAAACTAAATGAGATCAATGATTAGAGTTTTAAAACTATGTACCTGGAGAAAATGTGTTCAAAATTCTTAACAATGCATTTTTACTTACTCAATAACTTCATCAATTGTTTTAGTAATAATCTGTTTGACTGTTTCTATGTGTTGGTCAGCAATCCCCTGCAGGCCCACACTGAAGAAAGCTTCTCTTGTACAGCCGTTATACCTAGAACACAAACATGCTGAAAATGCCACAATCAAAACAGCTTTTATAAATGACAACTTTCAGAATCAACTTATTAATATTTCAAAAGAAAAAAAATCCACAAAAAAGCTCAAACCTTAAAGTCTTAAATACTTCAAGGATCAATTAGAGTGGCACTGTTAAAGAATATTAAAGTTCTCTTTGTGGATATATCAACCATTATTTAAAATTCCTGATGTAATTCACGATATTTCTAAAACATACAAATCTAAAGAAAAAGAATAGCTAAGCTGCACAAAATACTGAAATATAAAGATATTCTCTATTTAACACATAGAAAGTAGGGATAGGCAAAGGATCTGTAATTTCATTGGTATTGGGAAGTTCCCGGTAAGGAAAACTGCTCTCCCAAAACTATTCTGCACCTTTTTCAGCAACAGACAACTCTTGGAGAACTACTTAGAATTATGCCTCAAAATCAGAGAAAAAGGACAAAAATGTACAAAAATATTTGTAACAGCTCATTTTGCAGTAGCAAAGAACTAGAAAATAAAGAAGTTCAAATTAATTGAGAGACAGCCGAGCCAATTATAGTAAAGGAATGCAATGGAAAATTATTATACCATAAGAAACAATGACAAGAATAATTTATTCAATAATAACACTATGAAAATAGATAATGTTGAAAGATTTAAGGACTCTCATCAATGCAATGGCCAACTATACTTGCAGAGGACTGATGATGAAGCATGTTAACCACCTCTAGAGAGAGATGATAGACTCAGGGGACAGAAATACATTTTTCTGGACATGACCAATGAAGGAATTTGTTTTGCTTTATGCAAATGTATATTTATAAGGATCTTGTTTTTTCTTTTTTTTCCAATGGGGGTAGAGGTGACAGGAGGAAGAGAAAATTGATTTTTATTAATTAAAAAAAAATAACTGAACAGTAACACTCACCCAACATCTGGAGAAAAGTCTGTGCCAAGACCAGATTCAATCAATGCTTTATAAAATGGAGAATTAGGTCCATCAATCAATAGCGAAGACAAAAGATTTAGGGTGAAGGATTCAAATATATCTGTAATACTGCATTGATAAGAAAATTCAGCAACAGAATTACAATGCTTATTCCTACGTAAAATAAAAGAGCTGGACTAGATGGCCTACAACAATCCTTCTAAGCTCTAGATCTATGATCCTGTGTTTCTTTGAGCCTTCCACTATTCCATAAAATCTACAAAATGAAGCACCAAGTTGCACATGGCATAGTCAAATTCTTTTCTCACATCTCCTCTAGAACAAGCATCGTGCCTCTTTTCTCTGGTGACCAGCCTACAAATGTACTAAGAAAGTGGAATTAACACTCATCTTTTTGACAGCATCAAATATTTTCTAATTTTTTTTGTTAACTATCCTAGACAAAAGTTTCTAAAATATACTTTACTATTTAACATTTCCTTTTTCTAAAAATTAAAGTATGAAAATTTTCTTAGTATTACATATTTCAAACTAAAACTTTTCACTTCTAGACAAAACCAAAATTTTTTACATGCCTATTTTTCTTAAATTTTTAAAAATACAACTCAGTACTTAATGTACTTACTCTGGCAAAAGGAAACTGATGCCAATAGTAGTTTGTTTAGTTGGGTCTGTTGCAAATTTATCTGGACCACATGTCACATGGTATTCCCTCTAAAAATACAGCAATATTTTAACAAACAAAAATTTAAATTACTTTAGAGAAACACAAGTAATCAATACCAATAAAATGCCCTTCAATAAAAGATACCCTTCTCTATTTTTTCAAGTAAGTTTTACTTTTTAGGGTAAAGCAATCTTAAAAATAAACACCTATGGGCTTTTTTTTTTAACCCATCATATAAAACAGAGGCCAATCTTAATCAGTACACATAATAGAAGCTGTAATAACACATTATAGATCAAATGCTTACAGGTGTATCCCAAAGCTTCTGGGCTGGCACTGCAGTATTAGGCTCAATTCTCTGAAATTTATTTAGAGCTTCTTCATGAATTTGCCTCAAATGCTGTTCCAATGGAAGGTTGCCATAAGTAAAGAACCTGAATATTTAGGAAAGAAGAACTGACTTATTTCAATTTAGTTTGAACATCTAGAACTAAATAATGATTTGGCTTTTTTCACTGTTTGATATATAACTCATAGCTCTCAAAGATATTTTGCTAGCTCAAAATGACTTAGTTAAGAAGAGTCTTTAGTTTAAATGCAAAGACTAAAGGGAAATACTGCACCAGAAAAAGTTTGTGAAAATTAGAAGAAAAAAAAAGCTGAAAAAATAAGGTTAAATGCAAAACTGGCAATATAAAAACATCAATTAGGCAGGCACTTTAATACTCCTTTGTTTATCTTAATTTCTATGATCATTTAATTCTGCTGGATAAACATTACAGCAGAAAAAGTTCTCTTTGCCTACAATACTTACTATGGCCCAAGATAATATATAGTAAAACAAGTTAATAATCTTTACATTAAATATAAATTTAAAAATTATCAACAATACTAAAACAGCTCTCGAAGATTTTCTAAATAGATGTTACATTAGCATTTAGTACTAAAATCAAGAAACTTCTCAAAAATCACACATTATGTCAAAGATTCATTATTCTCAAGTCTATTTGTAACAAAAAGCATAAATAATAATCTAAGCTAAGAAGGTGCTGATGATCATTACACAGACGCTTCGTAGTAAAGGTTATTCCTTTTTTCCCCCTTACTCAATGGAACACAACCCTTTTAATGCAGTATTTTATTATTTACCAAATAAGAGGCCAAAATAAATTAAAAATATGGAATGTTTCACAAATTTGTGTGTAATTCCATAAGAATATGTTATCTTACTAAATTGTAACTATATAAGCATCTATAAAAGTATATAAGAAACTAAAAGCAAAAAACAAAATACAATTCTAAGGACTAAAGGAAAGACTATTACCTAGCATTACTCGGATGGTAATGAGTAGCATGGAATTGTTTAAGTTGTTCCCATGAAAGATCAGGGATGCTTAGTGGATTACCACCAGATACAACTGAGTAAGTGTGATCAGGAAGGAGTTGGTTTTGAAGAGACTGCGAGAATATCCTCTCATTGTCTGTCTTGAAATGAAAACATAAAAATTACAATTTAGCATAACAAACAAATGGTATGTTGTGGTACGCAGGTATAGCCTTTGTTTAAAGTAAAATCTATTCTAAGAGTAAATATGTATGCAAGTGTATAAATATGTGCATATATGTATGTATATAAATAAAACAGACAGTGTTTAGTTCCGGTGACAAGGCAAGAAAAATAACCTGAAACAGACGCCAGAGAGCAAGAGTACTAGAGAAAATAATACAGCCTCCTGCAAGGCAGAGTAGAAGGTGAGACTATGTCATTATAAGACAAGCTTCAAGAACACATCAACTACACCTGAAAAATGAAAACCAAAAGTTACCAATGACCCAACAATCTAATATAACGGCCTCTTCTGAACATGTAGGACCAATATGGGACACATTTGACTCCCGTTTTTCATACTCTTCTCCCTTATTAGCTCTTCTAGTTTTATGCCCACTTCTCTTCACCTTGCCTTCTGTGCATTTATCAGTACTTCCAATCTTTTAGGTGTGAGCACTCTGGGTTTAATGTTAAAAAAAGAAATTAACAAAACCCCCATACAATAGACATTTTACTAACAGTATTTGTTTATTGAGAAAGTACTTGATAACAAATTATCATAAATTCAGTAACCCTTTTAAATGTTGCCAATTTTAAAAGCAACTACACATACTTGAAAAATATTAAGTCAAACTGCCTATTTTGTTGGAGCTAAAATAAAAATCAAAATGACAGTCCTTGGTATGTATGGATACATTATTGGGCTCTGAGGTCCCCCAGGGACACAGAAGGAGAAACAACTCCCCAAAATAAAGGCATATCCCAATATTTCATCCTATCTTTTACTCTCTTCTTTCTCTACTTTTTCTTACAGTTTCAACTATATCCTTGATGCAGATAACCTTCAAATCTTTATCACCAGCCCTGACTTAAACCTCAGACTTAATTTCATAGCTCCTCCTACTGCTTATTTCCTCCTAGAGCTCTTGCCAGCACGTCAAACTCAGGTCCCAAGTCTAATTCTTCTTCATCATTTTCATCTTCATCAAAGCCTCACTTCCTTCTGATTTCCCTGTTACAGCATGATCACTCTCCTAGTCATACTTGCTTGATATCTCACACTAATCTTTGATCTCTCTCCCCTTCTCAAATATACAATTAGCTGGTAAGCCTGACAGTCCTTCATGTCTTGTCATTGTCCCTTTCTTTCTATTCCCATGATCACTACCAAAGTTAATAATTTCATTGCTTACCCTCTGGCAAAAGCATCTTAACTGATTCTCCTTTCTCCCAACTCTCCCTCTACATGCCATTACAAGTAAGTGGAAGAGGACAGCACATAGGAAGGAGCATGGATTTGCACTGAGCTTGCTTAGCACTAGCCTTGCTACTTACTATCAACAAGACCTTGGTTACGTTACTTAATCTCTCTGGGCTTGGAGTAAATGATTTCTAAGACCTTTTCCAATTCTAAATCCAATTCTACTACATGCATACTCCCAGGGTATAGATCTGATTATACTGATCTTTACTGATCAAAAAATTCATTTGTTCCCCAATGCCTTCCTAATAAAGTCCATACTCTTTTGGTCTCATTTATGTCCCTCTCTTCTGGAGCCATCTCCAGTCATCTTGATTTATACCTTGACACTGGACCCAGAAGGCTCTGGAGGAGAAAGTGAGGCTGGTGACTTTGAACAAACCCCCCTCACTTAAATCCAATTCACTTGCAAGTCATGGCATCACCTTCCTGATGCCAGTTATTTTTGAGAATGAAGGACAAACAACATGTCCTTCTATAATCTGATACCAATATTCCTTTCCAGTATTAGCTCATGAGGCTCCTTTCCACATACCCTATGATCCAACCAAACCAGATTACTAATTATTCCTAAGTTTCCTAACATTGTACCTTTGTTCACAGCATTCCCTAGCCCTGGAATGAGATCTCTTTCATCTGTTATAATCTTGCCTATCCTTCATGTCACCTTCCCTGATCTCCACAGCTAAAAGTGGTATCTTTCTTCTTTGGACTTTAAGGTGGGGGGGGGGGCAATAAGACTTGCCATAATGTAATGCTTCTCCTATGCCAGATTTTCATCACCTATTAATGGTACGGATGTATATATAGTTATTTAAGGTGAATATCTTCAATAGAAAAAAAAAGGATGAGAACTATGCAATAATTTTCAAATCAGAACCAAATACATTTGTCTTATTCAAACCGGCTCCCTACCCCTAAGCTGGAGCAACCTTTTAATATAAATTACAAAGTAAAAACTTACAAATGCTCCTTTCATTTCATTAAAAACGATTCCTTTAAAGACAAGGCGTGTTTCAGGGTTACTTGGATTCTCATGTTCTAGTCTCCAACCTTCTTGCCTAAATGATAAATAATTGTGAGATTACTAATTTTAATTGATACCATTTATAACTAATATGTTCAAATACTACGTACCAGAAGTCCAGTTCCCTCAAACATGGAAAGAAGACTGCATCCAGATATACTGAGAGAAGATTCTGAAAATCCTTAGAATTTTGTGTTGAAAATGGATATAATGTATAATCACTAGCTGGGTACAAATGAAAAGAATGATTTTTTGTTACAACAAATTCCTATGAAAATCATACATTTTCAACTCAATTTTTCCTTTAGGTCTATCACTTAACTAGGAATTCAACTTTACATTTCCAATTTTATAATTGAGAAATGCTTAAACCTAAGTGATGCTGCTCTGCTTCCTCAAGAGGAGTCCAAGTTTTTTAGTTCCACCTCTGCTATATACACTACAAGTCCCTCTGGAAAAATTGTGAGGTACTATCCAGAATCACCTGATTCTTTGAAAAGAGTCCATTTGGCAGTCAAGTGACAACACTCATATCTTTTCTCATGTCTTTCACAAATGACAAAAATAAGCGACATGGCTCTAATATAGCTAATATAGCTATTCAATACTCTGGGGAAAAAAGGTACTGTTGAATAAGTATCTCCTTAGTTTATATTTTCTAATTCATAATAAAAATATCTTTAAACATATTTTGAATTTTAATTATTAAAAATAAAATATTACCAAATTTCCTAGTTAAATTCATATCTGTTTCAGAGTTTCTGAAACCATGGTTTCCATAATTCCATCGTAGGCATTAACATCTGATTATTGAAACAAGACAGAATTTACAAAAGACCTCCCATTACCCCAGCATCTCAAACTCATTAAAACCTTTCAAATCCACATAATTATAATCTTCTAATAGTAAATGTTAAGAGCTTAGAAGAGGATAACCAACTTCTACAGGTATATCTTTAAAGTGAATCCCATTTCAGCAACTGTAAATGTGACAATCTCAGAAGGCAGACTAGACTCACCTGTAAATGCATTCATAAAAGTGGCTAATGATCTGTTCAGCATTTTGAAGAAAGGATCTCTGCAGGGATACTTCTGAGAACCACAAAGTACAGTATGCTCAAGAATATGTGGAACACCAGTACTATCCATTGGTGTAGTACGGAACTGCACACTAATGGAAGGAAAAAAAACAAAAAAAAATCACCCCCAAACTTTAAGATCTAAAATTACAGATCACAATTCATACAAATGTCAAAATAAAACAACACACTAATTTGCTGCTCCTTAAAATGCTACATAAATAACCATTTTAAAAGACTGCCTTCTCTTGACATAATACTTTATTACTGAAAAATATTTTCTCAAATTACAGTAAAAATATAATTGAAAAGAAACTTATCATGGAATTATTTTTTTTTATCACTTACTTCAATTGACTTTAATCAGAACACATTTCTTGAACGCTATGTAACAAAGCACTATAACTGTTAAGGGAAACACGAAGATAAATGTGGCATTGTCTCCACTTTCAGGGAGCTTACGATCAAGTGGAAAAGCACTTTGCTATGTACCATGACAAATGGTAACTAATAAGGAAGGAAATTTATAAAAATGTTATTTTAAATTTGTTATAAATGTACAGTTAGTGTTTTAAGTGGAAAAAATATCAAGAATATACATATACATGTATGTATATGTGTGTGTATATATACATATGTATATAAAATGCATAATACATATGTGTGTATTTACATTTTACAGCCTACCTAAATAAATTATTTGCATCCTCTCTTGCCACATGTAAATATTTAGCACCTGTGCTGTCATGACCAAGCTTCACGGCAACTAAGAATAGATCAGGAATAGGTGTTATCTGTATTAAAAAGAAAAACATAAGTAACATTTTAATTTACAACACCTAACAAAATTCAAATGATTTTTTCAAATTGAGGCAATTAACAATTTAAATTATTTTATAATCATAGATAATACTGTGAAACTAGCTTAAGAATAACTGATTTCCCATAACTGAATGTTCTGCAGTAGTTATTCCAGTGTAATTTGTACCTATTAATTTCTCCGTAGTTTCAAAGTTCTAAAGGTATACTGAACAACATGAAAAATGCACCTATATTTAAGCAGCTTAGATATCTGTGATATCTTTAATGAGTTATTATTACTGTTACTTTTTCAAATTAAAATCACAATTTTGTTTTAAACCTGATTTTCCTGAAATTTAACACTAGCCAGACCAAAATTTGAAAATAACTCCAAGGAATAAGCTGCATCAAATTGACATAGCATTTTTTTTATCCATAAAGAAAAGAGAGAAAGGATGAAATTTCTTATTCTGCAGTAAAAGTTTTTGCACTAATTGATGCATCTCATCTCCAAAGAGCAAGAAGGAAATTAGTACTCTATTCTGAGAGGAAAAAATGACCTATCATCTTATTCACAAATTCTAACTATGCCATGATAACATCCACAATCCTTGTACCATACTTAAACAATGTACGTCATAGAAATATTAAAACAAAGAGTGTACCTGGTTTATAGTGAATCCATGGATTTTGTCACCTACTTTATACTCTAGAGCTTTATCACATGCTGCATTACTCCTCCACCTCCAGGGCTTGTAATTTACAAATCTATATATACAAATATTAAATAAAATAAAATAAAATTAGGCTGTTTTGAAGAAAAGCTATCTAGGTATAATTCAATAACAAGTTTCAATGACTATGAACAGTATACATTCAAAGAGTTAATAAAGGTGTTAATTTAAATTCTGCACCTTATTCACAAATCTAGAAATTCTTTATATTAAAGTTTTTCAATGTTAAGACCCTTTTGTCTTCTCCTCATATTTTCATAATGGCTGCATGAAAGTCCTTATCAGTTTGCATTTTACAACAGTACTGAAAAATCTTTATCAATCACTTTGAGTTAAACTTCTGAAAGAGATATACATTTAATTTTATAAAAGCAAAATGTTTTGCCAAGCTTTCATTTAACTAATGTCATCCTCATCTCGTTATAGTATAATAGTTAGGTTTTATCTTTATCACATAATTCACCTTCCAATAAATAACTGGAAGCATAAATTTCAACGAGTAAACAAATTAAATCTCCAATTTATGAATCTGGATATGCTAACAAAACCACTACGATCAACTCTGTATCAGATTCACAAATTCTAGAATCAAAGGGTGTGAAAGGGCTTTGGAGTGGTCAATTAGATACAACCAGAGCATTGACTATAAAAAAGATAATATATGCTGCAACGAAACAGACTTCAAGAAGCTCTGCTAAGATGTTATTCTAATGATGAGGAATATTCCACTGAAGTGGTATTATCAGAGATAAATGGATAGAGAATACATAAAAATTGCATTATATACTATAATGGGTGGCTAAGAGTTGCAGTGATCAAGGTCTATGCAAGAACTGACCATACAAAATGCAGTAATATTCCCACTAGCTTAAGAAAAGCCACGAAGGTTCTTCTCTAACCCTTGCTTGACAGGAGACGGTGTTATATTCTAAAGATTCATGACTGGTTATATAAGAATTGGAGTGAACTAGAAAAAGATGGAGGAGAGGAAATACAATAATTAAAAAGAATTAAAGCTACTGCCAATAAAGAGAACAGATAGAAATCTAAGGATTAAAAGTACCTGTGTGAAACTAACTTTTGCTGTGAGACCAGGACTGGAGACAAGCCAATGCACATTAATGATAACATACGCATAAACAAGTCATGTTATGGAACTAAAAACTGACAAGTAACATTTGGGGAGAAATGGAAATAGCCACACTTGGGATGGGATGACAGCAGCATACGGCTAAATCAAAAGACCATCCCAAGTTCAAATCATAGAATGACTCACCAAAATGGCTGTCCACCCCATTTACAAAAAGAACCTCACTCTAATACACCTCACAGGAAGGAGGGGAACATTCATGCCCCTCTTGAAGATCGTCAAGGAATGGACAGCCACTGCTTTTCTAGGCAGTCCATTCCACTTGCAGACATGTTCATTTGTGAGGCACTTTTCCCTGACACCAATTCTAAATCTGCCTCTTTTCAACTTATATCATGGTTCTTGGTTCTGCCCTCTGCGGCCAAAGTGAAAACATCTAATCCTCCCTTTACATGACAATCCTTCAAATACATGGAGACAGCTATCACATCCTCAATTCTCATACGACATGAATTAAGGGCCCATCTAACTAACAACTATCTCCGGATCCTTGGAAATTTTACCTTTCAATACAACCAAAGCTTGCCCTCATTTTTTTGTGTTTTGGCTGCTGCCTCTCATTAAAAAGATCTTTTTAAAAATTACTGCTTAACCATGACTCCCTCGTCTTAAACTTGTGCAGCTGACTTTTTGAACCCAAGTATAAGATTTTACATTCATTATCCCCACCAAATTTCATCTCATTAAATAATGTTCGAGCCTGCCAAGATCATTTTGGACCCTTTGTAATCACTTTCAGTTATCCTTTACACTTCAGTTTCATCTACAAATGTGATGGGCATGACATTTATGTACGAAATCATATATAAGAATGTTAAATGGCAGAGGGCAACATATAGATCCTTAAGGTACTATACTAGAAACCATCTTCCATACTGAAATTGAACCATTAAGAATTATCTTTTAGTCTGGCTATCCAACCAGTTCTGAATTCAACCAATCCAAGGATAGAGCCCTTCATATATCAATGAATAATGGGTAGGCCATCAAAGTAGACTGAGAAGGATAAGATAGATGGAAGCACCAGGAGAGAGCAGTACTGAAAAATTCAAAGAGCAGAGTATTTCTATGAGGAAAGGGTGATCAAAAAAAAAAAAAACGTGTCAAGAATGAAGAAAAGCCATACGGATTTGGCCATTAGGAGATCATAAGTAATCCAGGAAAGAGCAATTTCAGACAAGTCATGAAGTTGAAAGCCAAACTGCAAAGAGTTAAGATGTGAATCAGAGATGAGAAAATGGAGACAAGGAGTGTGAACAGTGTTTTGTTTTTCCTGGGAGTTTAGCCGTGAAAGAGCATGAAAAGTCTGAGGGGAACAATAGGTGGAAGTGAAGTTCCCTTAAGAATAGGGGCACTCTGGGCATCTAGTGCACACATGGGGAAAGACTGAAAATTAGAAGGGGCAGCTAGGTGGCACAGTGGATAAAGCTCAGCCTTGGAGTCAGGAGGACCTGAGTTCAAAGCTGACCTCAGACACTTGACACTTATTAGCTGTGTGACCCTGGGCAAGTCACTTAACCCCAATGCCTAGCCAAAAAAAAAAAAGATTAAAAATTAGAGGGAGGAGGCAATCAAAGGGAAAAGCTCAAGAAGCAGACAGGAGGCGAGACACTAGGAAGGAAAAAGACTGCCTCTTCCTACAAGACTGGAGCAAAGAAGAGAGTGGGATGATAAAGATGCGTTTTAAGAAGAGGAAGGCCCCCTTTCTGGACTTCCTCAGATATAAAATTAAGTGGTTAATTATATTCATAACATTTTCTATGGGAAAATAATATGATTTGCAGCTGGAATTAAACTTTAAGATCATCTAGTCCAAGACTTCTTAACCTCTGTTAGTTTCACAGACCCTTCTTTAGCAGTCCTGGTAAAGTATCTCAACCCTTTTTTAGAGAATGATGTTTTTAAATGTATAAAATTTTGTGGTTAGAAAGGTAACCACTTATACTGAATTACAATTCTTAAAATTTCCTACCCAAGTTCACGGGCCCCCTGAAATCATACAGACAGACTCCAGGATTCCATGGATCCCAGAGTTAAGAACCCATGATCTAGTCTAACTCCCCCCCCCCACCAATTTTACAGATGAGAAAATTCAGGCCCAGAGAGATTAAGTAGATTTCAGTAACAGAATTCAAACCCATGCCCTCTGATATGTTCAAATGTCTTACAAATTTTATGTAACACCAATAATTCCTTAAGACTTTCTTACACTAAATTTAAGGAAGAAGAGAATTAAGGAAGTAGTTTAGGATCTTAAGTGTCCTCTTCTAACCCTGTTTGGGTAAGGTTATTTAAGGACTCAGTGCTCTACAAAATACTATTTACCTAATGGAATCAAACATATTATTAATACTTATGAACTAGCTTTTCATTACTGCTTCATTATAATCTACATTAATAACAACCCCTAAACCAACAGGAAGAGAGGGGGAGAGTCAGGAGGAGTCATGAAGAAGGGAAGATAACCATCATGGCTTTTCCACTTGAGATTTCACGGGGTGGTTCCTCCCTCATACACTCGTTTGTTTTTTCATATTTAAAGGTCTCCCTTGCTGGCGCGGTGGTGGTAGGAAAGACAAGGATTAAAAACAGAGAGGAGGAAAGTGCTTGGCAGTCTCTCAGGTGGCTCAAATCTTGCCTCAAGCCCTAACTATACAGGGAAACCACTGAACCTCAGGTTCCTCATCTGTAAAATCGAATAACAGCACACAGCTGTTAAGAAGATCCTCTGAGACAGGTTTACAGACTTAAAGCTGGAAAGAGATTTTAGAAGCCATTCTGGTCCAACCCCTTCATTTGACACACAGGCAAACTGAGGCCCAAAGAGGTTAAGTGATTTTGCCCAGGGTCATGCAGCTAATGTCAGAGACAGCATCTGATCCCAGACCAAGAGTGGGGAACGTGCGATCTCGAGGCCACATGTGGCCTTCCAGGTCCTCAAATGAAGCCCTTTGACTGAATCCAAACTTCTGATTTGTTCTGTGAACTTGAGGACCCAGAGGGCCACATGTGGCCTTGAGGCCAAAGGTTCCCCACCCCAGTCCCAGCCCTTCCTGACTCTTTCCACTAACCCTCAAGAACAAAGAGAGTAGCCCACATTGAGGGGGCACTTTAAGCTTGGAGTGGTGTGGATCTGGGAGTGTGAAAACCTCAGTATAAATAGCATCTCTGTGTGATGCTGGACAAATCAGACAGTCAATCAACAAACGTGCACAATGAATGCGCTTTGTAGGCTAGGGAATGGATGCAAAGAAAGGTGGTAGTAGTAGTCCCTACCCTCCAGGAGCTCACAGTCTAAAGGAGGAGACAACATGCAAACGACCTCGTACACAGGATAAATTGGACACAGCAGAGAGAAGACCCTCGCACTAAGGGGGACCTGGAAAGGATTCCTGCAGAAGGAGGGATTATCCCGGGACTTGAAAGAAGCCAGAAGGTGGAGCTGAGGAGACAAGGCATTCCAGACGTGATGCACAGATAATGAAAATGCCCGGAGTCGGCCGGTCAGCCAAGAGGCCAGCCTCGCAGCCTCTCTGGGTCTCCGTTTCCCCATCTGTACAGCCAAGAGAAGGGAAGAGAACTGGCCTCGCTGGGTTCCAAGATCCCAGCCGGCTCCCGAGAGATAAGCCACTGGACACCCTGGGCTCTTCTCCCGGCCCCAGAGGAGACAGCAGCAGCTTCGGCGGTGTTACCTCCCAGCCACCCCAGGGGCCGGCAGAACCCCGGCCCGACCCCCCGGCTTCCCTTCCCCCCGCGGCCCCGCTAGCTTCCAGGCCCTGACCAGGCCGAGCCGCACGCCCTCCCGCTCACCGGCGGCCCATGCTCAGCAGCTTCCAGCGGCTCCACATGGCTGCGCCGGACGGAAAGACGTCGAGGCTCCGGCGGGTAGAGCGCTCCAACCTACGTCCTCCTGCCCCGCAACGACGCAACGACTCTCTCCCGGCAGCTGCTACGGGCAGACCCCCCCCACCGCCCGCCGAGCTTCCTATTGGCCAGGCAGGCCAATAGGAGGCAAACGATTGGCTTTGGAGAAAAGGGGGCGGAGACGCCCTCGCGGACTCCTGGCCGAGCTCGAAGGGGGCGTTGCCCGCGCAGGGGCCCGCCCACCTGGGCCGGGAGTCCGGGGGAGGGGCAGGAGCCGAGTCTGGGCTGGCGTCTCCTGCTGGCCCTGTAGTCCGCCCCTGAGGTTTTCCGTGAGGAAACGAAGACCCAGAGAAGTAAAGAGATTTGACCGAAGTCACACAGGACGCAGGTGGTTAAGGATCAGACACAGAACCCTTCCCCCCCCCAGAGCTCTTTGCGCTGGGCCGCACTGCTCCCGTGGTATTGAGAAATGCCCTTGTAAAAAGAAGGTAAACGCACTCAGTGGCTTCTCCTGAGAGACTCACAGCCTCTCTGCCTCAGTTTCCCCATCAGTAAAATGGGGATGATGATATCATCATCTGAGAGTATCAAATGAAATCCCATATAAGGCAATTAGCAAATCCAAAACACTATATAATTGCTAGCTATTTTTATAATTAACACAAATATTTTTTAAAAAAAACATTAACAACCACACTAAAGAATGCTCCAAGTTGCTAACAATAAGAGAAATATAAATCAAAACTATCCTGAGGTTTTACCTCAAAGACAGTAAATTGGCAAATATGACAAAATATTTGTTGTTGTTCAGTCAACTCTACGTGACCCTTTCTGGGGTTTTCTTGGCAAAGACTTGGTTAGCCATTTCCTTCTCAAGCTCATTTTACAGATGAGGAAACTAAGGCAAACAGGCTTAAGTGACTTGCCCAGGGCCACACAGCTAGTAAGTGTCTGAGGTCAGATCTGAACTCAGATCTTCCCGACTCCAGGCCCAGGACTCTCTCCCTGCCACCTACCTCATGTCAAAATATAGGAATAATCAATGTTGGAGAGGTTATGAAAAGGTAGGCACGTTAATACATCGTTGGTGGGGTTATAGATTTGTGCAACCGTACCAGAAAGCAGTTTGTTTATAATTATGCAAAGAAACTAAATTAAAATGTCCTTTTGACTGAGGTTCACTACTTGGGATACATACACACACACACACATACGCATACATATATATGTACACACAAATATGTGTGTTTATATATACGTCTATATATGTATGTGTATATATATGGGATGGCTATAGATAGAAATGAGATGAGATAGATATATTCACAAATATATGCACACTTACATACATGTGTAATGTGTGTGTGTGCATATATCTGTCCCAAGGAGGTCATTGCTAAAAAGAAAGGTCCTGTATGTATTGACTGGCAACAAAGCAGACAGATGTTCACAAGCAGAGAATGAATAATATCACAAATTATATATGTGGATGTAAAAGGATATAATTTTACTACAAGAATATGATATGGAGAATCATAGGAAGACCAAATAAAATGATGTAAAATGAAATAAGTGGAACCAGGAAAGCAATACACAATGACCACAGTAATATAAATGGAAAGAATAATGACAAAAGAAATGAAACTGAATACTGTGAAATTATAATAACCAAGCTTGGCCTCAAAGAAGAGGTATGAGAATGTACCTTCCTTCTTTAAAGAGGTAGGGAACTATGGAGTATGAAAGACTACATATACATATGCACATATATGTACATATACATACACAAGATATAGGTATGAAAGACTACATATATATGTACATATGTACATATACAAGATATGGGGTATGAAAGACTACATAATCAGTAAGACTTAGTTAATATGTTGATTAGTTTTGCTAAACTGTTTTTTTTCTTTTTCTCATTCAAAAAGAAGGAATATATTGGGAAAAATGAGACATAAAGACATAAGATAACAATATGCTTTTTGAAAAAAGCTTTAAACTTTCAGGGGCTACATTCCCCTGGCATCTCTTTTGTCTTTTCTGGCATTTTATATTGCCACTATATTTATGTCTAACAATCTCTCATTACCTGGGCCAAGGCTTGTGAAAAGTAAATGCAGAGATAGCATGAAAATGTAGCATTCAATTTACCAAACTATGAAATGACTGATAAACTAATATAAGGATTTTCTGTGACTGATTTAACTGTGTGCTCCCTATATTCCTCTACTTCTCAGGAGTTAGCCAGTTTGGAGATTTAATACTTAAAATACTTCCAAAAAGATGATTGTAATTTGATCCTCTGGTGCTCACTGCGACAAAGTCATTTAATAAATATTTTTTCATCCATCCATTCATTCCATTGTTTAAATATACTATTCTTTTATGCAGAAGAATAATTACAATAATTTCATCCAGAAGTTAAAACAATGTAAATTAACAACCACAACATATTATGCTTCCTTCATCTCCTGGCTATAAGCATTTTCACTGGCCATTTTCATTTCACTCCATGCACAGAATGCTCTCCCTCCTCATCTCTGCCTACTGGCCTTTCTGGCGAAAGTCCCATCATCTCCAAGCAGGTTCTGCTGGTCCTCCCTAGTCCTAGTGCTTTTCTATCTCCACTTTATCCTGTGTGTCTTATTTACACATAATTATTTACATATTGTTTCCTGCATTAGACTGTGAGCTCTTTAAGTACACTTTTTGTTTTGTTCTGCCTTTCTTTTTATCTGTAGTGCCTAGCATTATGTCTTATACATAGTAGGTGCTTAATAAATACTTGTTGACTTGACAACAGAGAACAAAAGACATATTAGAAATGACTTAGCAAACATCTGACTTGCCAACAGAGAGCAAAGACTGCCAAAGGCAACACCTGGTTAAAAGATAAACTCATTTCTAAAATCTTATGAAGAAGGATGATGGACAATTATGAGCAGTCATTGCACAAAGCAGAGAAAGGCAGTGAAGGGTAAAAGCAGTTTAAAGATAGCCTGGCAATCTATCTAGCTAAGCAAAGTCATCCTAAGGGCATTCAAGGATGAAAATGGAAAGAGAATTACAAACAGCAGAAAAACAGAACAGAAAATGTTTCAATAAACTGAAATGGAAAATTTTTTCTATGAAGGCTAGTGGAAACATCACACTTGGATCTTAAGGCTGTAGTCCTTGAGTTGTTTATAGATGAGTGAGTAAATCATTTAGCCTCTCAGTCTCAATTTCCTCATCTGTAAAATGGGAATAATAATACTTTCAAGGCTGTTTTGAAGGTCAAATGATTATACATGTAAAGCACTCTACAAATCTTAAACTTCAAGGAGCTATATATTACTATTATTATTAAGACTAAAGACAAGAAAAGTTACAAAACTAGACCAACTATATAAAGAGGAAATCCATGCTAGAGGTGGTGAAATTATGAGGGTATTAAGGGATTAATGTACTAAGTATCTAAAGGTGGGGAAGATACCGAAAACAGGGAAAAAATCTTGGAATGTATTAATACTGAAAAAGTTGAAGAACACAACTACCAAACTAAATATTCCTCTTCCATTTATACAAAATATTTATAATAATTATCTATAAGCAAATTGGGGGCATCCTAGTAAGTTACAAGAAGGCTTACTCCAAAGAGTATTCAATAATGGGCCATGTCTTTGCCATTTCATAAGTCACTGAAAGATGTGGAAATTATAGAATCCCATTATGTTTATTGTTTGTTGATTACTAAACCAAAAAATTTATTTCCATAAAACAAAACAATGCTTTGTAACAAAATGTCTCTGATCCATACGTCAAGATCGTTCAGGAATCCTTAGAAGATAGTGCAACAGAAATAGTCTTGCTGAATGATCCCTCCCTTCTACCATGATAATAAATATTAGGAGAGGCATAAAACCATGTATCTGTGATAAGGGAGATCTCATGAAGAGTCCCAGTCAAAGAAGAATTTTCCTGTGAGTGATTAGGTCCTACAGATGCTCCCATTTGTGGATGACATTGTAGCATTCACATCAAACCCCAGAACATTTCATAGCCTACTGGAAGGCATCAGTAATCGCTCCAAAGAATTTGTCTTCTCTGGCCAGCCAGAGAAAGACTAAGTGGATGAAAAAAATGCCTGTTTTCCAGATTTCACATGCATTTGGGTGGATATCTTACAGAATTTGTCTAATAGTGTGTGTATTTGGGGTAGTCAGTACAAATGTGCTGGGCACAGAATTGAAAAGAAGGAAAGTAGATTGGATTCTTTTAAGGAAATCACAGAGCTCTTTTATAGATCCCAAACTTCTCATGAAAGCAAGATCCCATTTTTCTGATACTAACATTTTACTTGTGTTGCCATATGACATCAAGTTGAAGAATACTACTGGCTCAAGAGAAATATGGAGGAGTAGCCCATAGAGGACAGTGGAGAGATACACGATGATGTGTTTCAGGTTCTAATATATAACTCCAAAGAAGAGGGATAACATACATCATCAAGGAATTATATGACTATAACATGAAGAAAAGATGGGCTTGTCAGGAGCAATGGATAACAAGTAGATGACTGAAATATTCCACTGGTACCCTCGTCATGACAGGGGAAAGTAGAGAAAGCCTCCAGTACATTGGTTGTGCCTAATGCCAAAATTTTGGAAGAATGTGGACAAGAGTGATACAATATGAACAGATATGGGTGGCTTGCCATCTACATCATAGGAGGGAACTCCTGAATCAATGAGATCACAAACTCATTTGAGTATTTGAGCACCTTCTAAGTGATGTGATATTGCTGCAGTGAATCATGACATATCACCTCAGAGGAACCAACATTATAAATAAATCAAAGGAATAATAGAAAAATGCACCACAATAGACATAATTAATCTTCAGCCCCTCGCCAAGAATGACTTGGTCTGTCCATTTTGGGGCTCTAATTCTTGACACAGGCCTAGCTCACTTAATTTTCAGGCCTGGCCATTTCTTGAGCACAAGTCATTGTTAGTAAGGTAGTGAAGCCTACTTACTCCCACTATGCATGAGTCTTTAAATTACTGCTAGGATTACTGCATTGTGCTG